TTTTTTTCACTTTTTGCAGTTTATCGTGAATTTCTCCACAACCACTAAAGATAATTACATCATCGACAATTTTACAATTTTCCGGTCTCAATCAGAATAGGTGAAAGTATGCAACACCTTGTACATCAATCATTCGAATTTTTCATCGGAACTCAGAGGTTCTTAATATAATGTTAGGTAAAGGAAATTAAATACAAATTATAAATCTATCGCATTATACAAGTACTTATTCAATTCGAGATGCTGAAAAAATCCGGCAATTTTTATTTTGTTGGATTGTCATGTTGTTTTTGAGGTTGGTAATCTGTGGCGGTTGCGTCAATTGAACCACAATTTTGTTGGCAGTGACGTGACATTATTCGCCATACTCTATCAAATTGGAATCATAATAAAAGTAATATTTGTTAATAAAACTAATATTTCAACCCTTATTCATAAGGCGATACGTTGCTAATAAGATCGTGTAGAGAGACACATTCTTGTTTTGCACGATCTTCGTATATCCTTTAATGTGTTTGTGACAAGTATCCCAGTATACAAGTATAGAAGTGCCGATATAATGTTAACTAAATTTGAAACAAAGTCGGCTCGAGTGAAGGGCTTATCGTTTCACCCAAAGAGACCATGGATATTAGCAAGGTAAATTACTAAAAATATTTATTTAATTTACATCTATTACAAACATATTCAAGCTTCAATAGTGGTTGATTCCAATGTTGTTGTTTCTTCTTCTTCAACAACGATTTCCATTTTAGTGGTTTCCTCACTTACATGTCCACTTGTTGTTGATTGCTCGGTAACCTTTTGTGGCTGTTCAGTGGTTGTAGTCGTTGATGTTGTGTCAGGTTCAATTGTTTTGACATTTTGTTCACTGGCAGCAGTGTTGTTGTCTGTCTTCTCAGTGGTTACCCCCAAATTGAAAGTAGACTTCAACAATGGCACCAATGGGGAATCAACAACCGTTTCTAAAGACCTAGCTTTTGGTACTGGTGCTCCATCATCAACTCCTCTCATGACTAACTCATCATTAACATAATAGAAATTTTGCACTCCCATCTGCGGGTGTTTCAAATACTCAATTAAAGATTCAAAGGGATTCCCTTGAATTTCTTCTTCTTGAGATTTTACATTAATAGCATTTGAATCAACTGCATCTGATGCAGAAGTCCTAGAGCTGAAAACCACATTTTGTTTCATTTTATGCAATTCTGGACCTAAAACAAATCTGATCACAATGGAACATTGCATAATATTGCCTAATACAACCTGTCAGGAAGATAACATTTGATCTTGCCCCATCTTTATTTTCCATGTGATAAGCATAGCCTCTGAAGTTACTTTCCACATGATTGTTTTGTCTGCTAGGTTCAGAATATGTTGAAGGAAATCCATTGTATTGTTGACGATATTGTGGTACAATTGTTTGAGGGAATGTATATATGGGTTGTTGGTATTGGATTGGATTAAAGAAGTTTGGTGCACTGTAAAAGTACTGACCATATGCCCCCATCACAAAGCATAGTAAAAGAGAAACCTGAAAGAAATGCAAAATGTCATGACATTTAAATCCATCTCAAGGATGATTCATTTTTGATAAAAAAAAATAAATGTATGCAATTAAACTAATTTAAATGCGTGGACCTTTAAAATGATCAAAGAGGAAATAAAGATTTGCACATTCTAATTAATTCAAAAACAATCTAGTTCCGATTTACGACAATTATATGATTATAAAAATAAATAATAATTTTATATAATCATATATACAACATATTAAAACCTTTTAAAGGCGCCTTTAGTCTTATAAGAATATATTCAATTGGTAGGGTTTCTTAAAAACTTTTATTAGACAATTATTTACTCAAAAACTTTTAATGGAATATTTTAGATATAAAACTGAGTATTATTTTATTTGTATTTGAAAATGTTAAAAATTATATATAAAATTGGCTGTTCATTTCAAATAATGTATTTAATACATCCCCTTACTTCTTCTATAATGATTATGATATATTAAAATGTATTAGTTTAAATAGTTGTATTAGTAAAAAAATTACAATAATAATAATATTCTATACTTACGGAATATATTGGAACCATTATGTCTGTATAGTTAATGATGAGTGCTCTGTAAATGTGTTATTTTTTTGGGGGTTTACAATTTATAGTAGCAGTCTGAGGGAGGAGGGGCGCACCCTACCAAAATTACTCGATTTGCAAATTGATACGAGCTTTTGGGCGTAACCAATTTCCCTTGAATGAGAACTCGTCCAAATCGTATTGGATTATGCCAAACAACTTTTTTTTTGCTCAGTTCTTTTAATAATAGTATTTCATAATGAATATTTATTTAAAACTTCTTCATTTGCGCGACAAGGTTGAGTAATGCGTTGGAAAAAGGTAAATTGAAACCTGATTTTTTCGAAATGCCAACACATGACCTTTGAGCTAAACCCTAATTTAGAGTGGCCCGTAAAATGATGGAATTCTCATGTTTATTTATTCATATATTTTTTTATTGTTTGTTTTCGTTCTTTCCATACGCAGTTTGCACAATGGCGTTATTCAGTTGTGGGATTATCGGATGTGCACGATGCTGGAGAAATTCGATGAGCACGATGGACCAGTCAGAGGGATCTGTTTCCACAACCAGCAGCCGCTCTTTGTTTCCGGCGGCGATGATTACAAAATAAAGGTTATTCATTGATGGCGCATTTTTTTTGTATCTAACGAATTCGCAAATAACGTGAATTTCCTATGCAGGTTTGGAATTATAAGTTGAAGCGTTGCATCTTCACCCTGCTGGGTCATTTGGATTACATCCGCACCACGATGTTTCACCACGAATACCCATGGATCGTGTCCGCCTCCGATGATCAGACTATCCGCATCTGGAATTGGCAGAGTCGTACCTGCATTTGTGTCCTGACGGGACATTGCCACTATGTCATGTGTGCGATCTTTCATCCTAGCGAAGATCTCCTAGTTAGTGCGTCTTTGGATCAAACGGTTAGGGTATGGGATATTTCGGGCCTCAGGAAGAAGAATGTTGCGCCAGGTCCGGGCGTTCTCGAAGACCATATGAAGAATCCTGGAACGACAGATCTCTTTGGACAGGCCGATGCCGTCGTCAAACATATCCTTGAAGGTCACGATCGCGGCGTCAATTGGGCTTGCTTCCATCCTACCCTACCGCTCATTGTTTCCGGTGCTGATGATAGGCAAATCAAGCTATGGAGGATGAACGATTCGAAGGCCTGGGAAGTAGATACATGCCGCGGTCACTACAATAACGTTTCCTGCGTGCTCTTCCATCCCAGACAAGAACTACTTTTATCTAACAGCGAGGACAAGAGTATTAGGATTTGGGATATGTCTAAACGTATCTGCCTAGACACGATCCGACGAGACCATGAGAGGTTCTGGGTACTTACCTCTCATCCAACCCTAAATTTATTTGCTGCTGGTCACGATGCTGGAATGGTCATCTTCAAATTGGAAAGAGAACGTCCTGCTTACACTGTTTATGGAAACCTTCTCTATTACGTGAAGGATCGCTTCCTGCGTAAATTGGATTTCACCACGTCTAAGGATACGCCGGTCATGCAGCTGCGAGGATTTGGAAAGTCCCCGGTGTACAACATGTCCTTTAACCCAGCCGAGAATGCAGTGCTCGTGTGCACCAGATCTAGTAACGTCGATGGTAACAATTACGATCTATACCTGATTCCTAAGGAGCACGAATCCGAAATCACAGAAGTGGAGAACAAACGATCTTCGGGAAATACAGCTGTATGGGTAGCTAGAAATCGTTTTGCTGTTCTTGACAGAAATATGCAGTTGAACATTAAGAATCTGAAAAACGAGACGACTAAGAAAGTGCAAACACCACAATGCGACGAGATCTTTTACGCTGGCACGGGAATGCTGCTTCTTAGGGACATGGAACAGGTTACTCTCTTCGACGTCCAACAAAGGAGAACCATTGCGCAATGTAAGACTCACCATGTTATTTTAATTTAATCATTATTCATCGTTACGATTGGTATTTCAGTGAAAGTGATGCGCTGCAGATACGTCGTTTGGTCCGCTGATATGGCTTATGTAGCGCTGCTCTCCAAGCATTACGTAACCATATGTAACAGGAAACTGGAGCAGCTTTGTTCCATATACGAGAGCATCAAGGTTAAATCCGGTGCTTGGGATGACAGCGGCGTGTTTATCTACACGACCAGTAACCACATTAAATACGTTTTGAAGAACGGGTAAGTTGCTGTGTTTTTCTTGTGCATTCGTTTCATGTTTTATATTTTCAACAGAGACAATGGCATTATCAGGACGTTGGAATTGCCAATTTACATTACTCGTGTGAAGGGTAACCACCTGTTCTGCTTAGACCGAGAATACAAACCTAGGATGCTAACGATTGATCCTACGGAATTCAAATTCAAGCTAGCTCTAATCAACCACAACTACGAAGAAGTATTATATATCGTTAGGAACTCGCGATTGGTAGGGCAGGCAATTATTTCCTACCTGCAAAAGAAAGGATATCCTGAGGTGGCCCTGCACTTCGTTACTGATGACAAAACTATTTTCGGCTTGGCCCTGGAATGCGGAAACATTGAAGTTGCCTTGGAGGCGGCTAAATCGTTGAACGATAAAACTTGCTGGGAGAAACTCGCAGATGCGGCTCTCATGCAAGGTAATCATCAGGTGGTTGAGATGTGCTACCAACGTACGAAGAGCTTCGACAAATTATCCTTCCTATACTTGATCACTGGAAACTTGGAGAAGCTGAAGAAAATGACCAAGATCGCAGAGATTCGCAAGGAGAGGTCGGCTCAGTACCACGGAGCTCTGCTTCTTGGAGATGTCGTTGAAAGAGTAAAGATCCTGCAGGATTCCAATTTGACATCACTTGCTAATTTGACCGCTAAGACTCATGGCTTACCCGACATGGTTACTGAAGAGGGCGAGGTACGCGAAGTCACACCTGGAGCCAAATTCCTGAGACCTCCACCGCCAGTCCAACAAGCTGAATCCAACTGGCCACTGCTCACAGTCAGCCGAGTAAGTACAGCTTTCAAACAAGTTATTAGGAAACTAATTTGCGTTTATTATACAAAATAATTTAAAACAAAATATTCCACGAACTAAAAAAAATAGATAGAAATAAATTGTAATGTATATTTCAGGGATTCTTTGAAAATGCATCTCTATCCAAAACGAGTGCACATATGTCTAATCTTGATATTGATCCAAATATGGAACCGGTCGTCGATGAAGGCGGATGGGCCGATGAAGAAGATGATGTTGATCCGGACGTCGTAAGTAAAAGTAAGCCAGATGCTTCTGGTGATGCCGACATGGATGGTGGCTGGGATGTGGAAGACGCAGATTTGGAAATACCAGATTTAGGGCCGACGAAGATAAACGGCGAGGATACCACCACGTACATCCATCTGCCTAGCCAGGGAATATCGCAATACATGAGTTTGATTAAAAATTCTGAATTGGCTGTTGAACATGTACTTGCTGGCTCTTTCGACAGTGCCACTATGCTATTAAATGCACAGGTAAATAAATACGTGAATGATTTACCCTAGGTCATGGTATTAATTATTTTATTTTGTAGCTGGGCGTTGTCAATTTCATTCCATATAGAACGTTATTTTTGGACATGTACCGTAGCTCCAGGACAATCTGCTCCTGGCAGCAAATCCTTCCACCCCAGTTTTGCAACAATTTGGATACCAACAAAGCTGCTCCGTTTGTGCACACAAAACTAACAGATTTAATTCAGAGACTACACGTAATTTCAATACGATTCAATTAATTATCTTATTCTCAATTGCTTTATTCTTTGTAGGTATGTTACCAACTAACAACCGGTGGTAAATTTACGGAAGCCATCGAAAAGATGCAATTACTTCTTCTGCAAGTTACGTTGATCGTCGCTGAGTCGAAGAATGCAGTCGTCGAAGCGCAGCAGTTAATCAAAATTTGCAGGGAGTACGTGATAGGATTAAAGATGGAGACGCAGAGGAAGAGTTTGCCAAAGAATTTGCCTGAGGAACAGGAGCGGCAATGCGAGATGGCAGCATACTTCACTCATTGCCAGTTGCAGCCGATTCATCAAATCTTGACGCTGCGAACGGCCCTAAACATGTTCTTCAAGCTGAAGAATTACCGGACGGCGTCGTCCTTCGCCAAGAGGTTGCTGGATTTAGGACCAAGACAGGAGGTAGCCCAACAGGCGAGGAAGATCCTGCAAGCATGTGATTCTAACCCGACCGATGAATTCAAATTGCGCTATGATGAGCACAATCCGTTCTCGCTGTGTGCTTACTCCTTCCAACCCATCTACAGAGGAAAACCAGACGAGAAATGTCCCTTCTGCGGCGCCAGCTACATGCCTAATTTCAAAGGACGCCTGTGCAACATCTGTGAGGTCGCCGAAATAGGAAAGAAGGCGAGTGGCCTGAAGATCTTCCACCACCAAACACGTTAGGATTAAATAACATATAGTCTTTCTTTTTGTATTTATATATTGCATTATTACTTGGGACATCTGTTGTTATATATATATTTAAAAAAAATGTGTGTAAAATGATATAAAGTTGGAAGAAACAAAATCTATGTATAATTTGACTATACTACTATTTTTTTTTGTTGTTGCAATGAACCCAATAATAATATATTTTTTAATATCTAGTATTATATAACCGTATTATTAAACTGTCATACAACGCGCGATTGTATAATTCTTATAGTTTCTAAAAAATTGTGTATTTTTTGTATTTTTTTTTCTTCGAATACATAGGCATAAATGCACTCGTAAAGTAAATGAAAACCGACATGTGAAGAAAAACATGGGGATTTTTTTTTATATAAATCACCTTATGTACAACACAACGTAAAAGCTAAAATGAAACAAAAGAAACAAAAAAAGAACATACTATATATATATTTTTACATTACCTAATTTTCTTTGTATATAAAATATACGCGCATTATATAATCATTAATAACTAATGAATTTTTTTTTTGTTTTAATATTTATACATATAAATATATATAATATTAAATTTTCCCCGAATCCAGCGAGCTCATAAAAAGGCATATTATACTATATTTTAATATTTTTTAGCTTTTCTTATTTTTTTTTTACTTATCACTTAACATAGTTTTAAGACCAAAACGAACAAAATTTCTATTGCTTCTTAATTTGATTGGTGTCTTCAGATGCATCAAAGTCAATATTAAAAATACTGCGTGAGGAAGTTGTTAATTTTTCTTGTATACTATGATTGCCTTTCGTGTATTGCATTTTGTCGAATGGGCCCTAACGTTAGAAACTTACAAGGTAAGAGAACAAATAAAGATAATAAACTAATGTGAAAAATAAACGTACAATAAGTAACAGACAGACATACACACATGCTCACACACATTCCCTTGTTGCAGCTTGGCGTACATTTTTCCTTTTTAATTAATTTTTCACCTGCTCATTTTGGCACTTATTACATAAACTCGACATAAAATGTAAATTAAGAATAAACTAATATTAGTCAACAGAACTGTTTCGTATGAGCATAATAGTAAATTCAATTAAAAAATCCCAACAGAAATATAAAACAAAGAAAAAAAAATAGAAACAATATTTAACACATTTAGCACAGTATTCAGTTGTCGACAATGTGTCCGAGTAAAAAAACGTGTATATTTTTACAATTATTGAATATTACTAGAAAAATAGTGAAACAATAATCATCTGTATTAATAATAAGGCAATGGCACTACCATAGCATTCCACGTATGTCTTAACTAAGTAGCTGTGCTTGATGACTCTTGTTTTCCTGGAAAGTAATATTATGTAGATAGGAGTAGATACGAAGAAGAACTGTTGTCGTCTATATTAATTAATACCTTTTGCCACACTAGCTGCGCTTACGAACTCTTTGCCTATAATCAAAAATATGTTTATTAGTAGTTATATCATTGAAAACATTAGGTGGTTTCTGTGTTACCTCTTGACATGCCAGGTGCTACAATTGGTGGTTCGCCGTCGCGTTGTCTCCAGGACTCTGTGCGTGTGCGTACCACCTGCTTGGTACGACCAGAACCAAAGGACTGTGCCCTGGTTCTAGACATGTGGCGACCACTCGATCCAGCGGGTGCACTAGTGCCTGGTTGCACAATTTCTCTACATAAGAAAAGCATAGATGTTATCGAGTTCGAAAAAAATATTATTAAAAATATTCATAATTCTCCGCAGAAAAAATATTGTATGATAATGTTGACGATATGTCACACGGCAGCAAATATATCGGCCTATTTATAATTTATCGATAAGTGTGCCAAACGTTATATAATCCTCACCTATGTCTATTTGCATTTGATCCTGCGTGTTTTCTATTCTTTTCGTCCATATGAGCTGGGCACCTTTCGATGGTGCAGCTTTCTGATGCGCTTCGATTCCTCTGACTGAATTGAGAGCGTCCATTCGCTTCGTTTATTTGAGGCTGAAACGTTAATTACATGACCATTTTGATATAGCATTTGTTAAATAAAACACTTACTTCAACAACTCTAAAATCTTCGATGCCTTTGTATTTGCTTAAATATTCTTTAAGTGCGGGATTCACTTGCAAATTGCCGCTATGTTTATAATATTTAATGAAAGCCCAGAACTTCTCGAGTCCGTACAGCTGATTATTCTCGAAGTCCTTCACTGTTTCCTCCTGGAAATCATCGTACAACTGCGGTCTAAACTTCACTTCTAAACCATATGAATAAAATCTAAAAAGGCACTCAAGACCGTATCTGTAGCCGATTTCAGCATCTTCCAGGGCAATCGTTTTAAACTCGTTATACATAGACCTATTGAAATTTTCTCTAAGGAAAAAGGACCAAAAACGGAAAAGGGTGTTCATTTCGCTGGAATGTCCGCCGCCCCAGCGCTTGCGTTCCTTCAAGCACCTGTGTCTGTATTTATGATAAGCCTGTTGCGTGAAGTTATTATCCTTCAGAAGAGAATGGGATGGATGTTGAAACGAGGGTAAAGCTTGTGGAACAGAACCGTAGCTCGAAGACAAATTCTGTTCACTCGGACTGGTACCTATGCTGCTGCCAGCACTGGACGTCCTCACCCTATGCTCCTTCACATCCATAATCCATCCAACGTGATACTCAACAGGAGGATTGCTAGAATGGCGGGTTTTGCGTTTGCGAGGAGTACGAGGATCTGGGGTTTCATCTTTAACCACGGCATAGAATCTCGGGACATTTCTGTGATGTGTGCCCTGTCTGGATCTAGACATGGAATACCTCGAGTTATGAACGGAGGAAACCTATAAAAACATCATTAAAATAAGTAACGTTTGAAAAGCATAATTAAATAAATTACTGGTGGTGGTGGGGGTGGTACTTCCGGATTTTTCTTTTTAGGCGCTGGCGGAGCTATTTTACGGAAATCTTCTTGGCTTATGATATTGACAGTCTTATAGCTTCCGGAAATAGGACGGTCCTGTATTGTATGTTGAAGTGTATTTTGTGAAATTATAAATGATTCGTAACAGATATTTAATAAAATTCCTTACATATTCATCGTCCACCCACAAATCTTCCTCGTAATAGTACAAGCCATCGTTAATAGCCTGCTCCAACTCCTGGGTCATCTTAACTCTGGTTGTCCAATCACCTGTACGATCGTGCTTGGGAGCTCTACCGGGAAGCGCTTGGGTAACAATGAGTAATTTGTTCACGTCTCTGTCGCTCAACTCATCGGAATCATCTTCGGGCCAATCTGTAGTAAAAAGGTTTTGACGACCTGTAGGCACTTGGTCCAACTCTTCATCGAAGTGAAACTCTAACTCTTCCCGTTCAAAAGCATTATCCTTCTCTTTGGCTTCCTTCTTGCTTTTAGGATCCTTAGTTTTACGCTTCACTTCTCTCCAGTTATTTTCAATATCATTTTTCTTTTGCATAACTGATCAAAAAAATATTGATTATTAGTTAACAAGTTTAAAACATAAAATTTACAAAAAAAAATATTACCAATTTTCTTATTTTCCTGAGGTACGGGTATAAACTCCGCTACATTTGGGTTTAAATTGTTCAAATCGCCTTGGGTATCCTTGAACGGTCTAAATGGTGTTGGCATTGGTGGTGGAGGTATATGTTGAATAGGAATGCTTTCCATTTCTAGACTAACCCCAGCAGTTTGCTCAAGAATTGGCCACCTCTCTGGCTCATCCTTAGTGCGCACCTGCAAAGCAATTCAAAATGTTAACATCCTTATCATACTTATAAGTCATTTTGTATATACCTTAAATCCAGAAAATAGCTCGAGTTTGTCGGAGTTGGTAATAGCTTCAACGACCAATGACAAATCCATAGTTAACGATTGCACACGATGAAATGAAGCAATTAAAGTAATGGGTAAGTATCCGTTCTTGTCCATTTTTCTACGTAAAAAGAAATCGCGCTGCAAATTGTCTTCACTGAAATAATATTCTATTTGTTTCTTAATATAATCCTTAACCGTGGGCGAGTCAAGGTTCACATAATTTTCAGAATTATAGTAGAAAGTCCCCATGTACGGTACAACGAATCCGTTTGAATCAATTTTTGTTAAAGAATAGCCCGCTTTCAGATCAGAAAATTCAGAACTATTGGTGCCTCTGTTGGAATTGCGGAAATTGGAGCGACGAGGAATTCTGTTGCGTCCCCTGCCTCTAGGAGCTGCAGACATTGGCCTGTTCTGCCTACCACCACGACCATTCGAATCGCGCATTTCCGCTTTCCAATCGCGATCGTTCTCGCTAACAGTCGATTGGACGTCTCCAGCAGCATCGTGCCTATATCTTGGAGAAGCATGTCTACGGTTACTGCCACCCCTTTTACTAACATCAATATCCAAAGGCACCCATTTGTGTTTGTTAGACTTGCTTGACAACTTCTTATCAGTAATTAATTCATTTTCTCGTTCATTTATGTTAACAGTCCCCCCATTAACTTTACGTTGCTGCAAATAAAAATAACAAAAACATTTACATAAGTTAATTGTTCTTTGTAATAAAAAAAAATTAAAAAAAACAAACAAAAAAATACCTCAATTGTCTGATCACCCAGAGTTGGCCAATTATGTATATCTGGTAAATTAGCAGGCTAAAACAAATTACAAAAGCAGTTATTAACAGTTAAGCCTAGTTTAAATGCATTAGAAAAAAAATTGTTAAATAAATTAAATACCTTAGCAGCTGGTTTCTTCTTCTCAGGTTTCACTGGAGCAGGTTGAGGCTGAGGTTGAGGCGGAGGTTGAAGCTCAGGTTGAGGTTGAAGCTGAGGTTGAGGTTGAGGCTGTATTTGTGCCTTCTCATTTTCTTGATTTTGAGGTTGCAGCACTCTCTTTTCATCCGACTTATTGTTTACACTCTTTGCTTGCTGCCAAGGGTTTGTCTTGGGCAATGGTGCTTCAACAAAAACTTTTTTGTCCTCAGCTACATTCTCCTTCTTAGCACTTGGATCTGCATTCATTGCATCCTTGGAAGTTGACCCAGTAGAATTTTCACTTCGTTTCTCTTTATCTTCCTTAACTTTGTGATCTCTCTCCCTTCGCTTCTTCTCATGCTTCCTTTCCTTACGGCTGTGGCTTATGACAGGTGTGAAGGATTCTTCCTCCTCATCAAATGACCTTTCAGGAACAATTGGAGACTCTTGCACTTGCACATTTTGATTGGTTTCTTTCGAAATGTTTTCCTTGTTGTTACTGTTGTTTGCTACTTTTAAATTTAGAAGAACGTCGGCATACGATGAATTTCCACCAACCTCAAGTTTCTCGTTGGAAGGTTGATTTACCGGAAGCTTGTTTTCGATCACTTGGCTCGACATTGTATTTGTTTAATTTCACTGGGTTATTCACGTATTAAACTTTAACAGAAAATAATCGAAACAAAATGTTCAATATGGGCACCCACCATGTTGTATTAAAAACGCATGGCTCCAACACACGTTGTCGTATGACAACAATATTCAAATGGTTATTCCGAGTAAATCGAAAACTGGAAATAACTATCAACGGGTATTTTAAGTAATGCACACTCTGGGAAGGAACTATGTAGAATAAATTTTGTTAGAATACAAAATATTTCATTATTTTTTCGAAACACTTAAAGCACATTTACGAAACTACGGATTTAGGTTTTGTGAAAAATGAAACAGGGCTTTATCCAACCACTATATTGGCTAGCCTGATTCCATGCTGCGCGACAATTTTTCGTTTAAAATTTCAAAATCCCCCACTTTCGTTTACTTTTACCAGCCTTTACGTTCTCAGTTTCTCTCCTCATTGCCATTTTCATTTCTTTTCACCATTTAACTTTAACAATACTTCTCATCCATTCTCACCATTTATGTACCATTTTTGATCTGTTCATATTTCTGTTTTATAAGAGAAAATATGACTGTTATATATATTTTTATGTAATTGTATAAAATCAACAGATTTAATAACTATATATTACATCCATTTTAAGTTAATTTCTTCAAATATACTGTGAAAACGTCCTCAACACTTAAGCGTCTTAACGCGATGGTATCGAATTTCAAACATTCCTGTCAACAGTAAAATAACCTCAAAATTTTTGCTTTCTACAAACATTAATATACTATTGATAATTCTGATAAATAAGCAAAAATGTCATCTGATGAAGATGACTACATGTCTGATAAATTCCTAGCATCTCTAAGGTCTGTACATGTTTATGTCCGAAAATTACTGAAAATTAATAGTTTGTTCAATCTGTAAACAGTTCCAATGTGGGCTTGCCTAAAAGGAAGCAGGATCAAAGGCAGCATGAGATGTTTAAGAAAAAGATCAAGTCAGTGTTACCTAAGAAGGCAGAGACTGAGGCAGCTGCAAGGGAAGCAGGCTTGAAGAATGCTATATCAGAAGACAACAAGGGATTTAAGATGTTACAGAAAATGGGATACAAGCCAGGAAGTGGCTTAGGCATTCGTAATACTGGAATTATTGAACCTATCAATGTTATTGTAAAGACTAACAATTCTGGTGTTGGTGCAAAAAGTTCAATCCGTATAAAAAAAGAAAAGAATCGACAAATAAAAGAGGAAGAAGCAAAGAAGTTGGAAGCAGAATTTAGGAAGGCCATACAGGAAAAATCTCGTCTGAAATCACTATTCACATTCTTTAGGAAAGCCCAAACTGCATGTGAACATTTGGATACAAATGAGGTATTTACATTGTTCATATTGAATTATTCAATGTTGAATTTGATCATCTTAAGTGTTTTCTGTGGATGAAATGGTTTTGATAATTTAGGATCTGATGGAACCAATTGTTGATTTCTATTGGCCAATCAAGATAAAGGAAAAAGAGGATGATGAGGAACAGGTGAAAGATGAGGCAGATTCAACTGATGAAGAGGAGGAAGAGAATGTGATCACTGAAGAGAACCTACTGAAATTAACGGAATATTTACGTTCGAGACATTTTTACTGCATCTACTGTGCTAGCAAGGCAGATGATCTCGAAGATCTGGACTCCTTCTGCCCCGGCAACAGCGTCGAAGGACACAATACTGATTACTGAATGTCTCGATGACGAAATTGATTATTCGTCACTAATGTGTATATTATCCGAGCTCTATTTCCTATGAATTAATTCGTATGGATTACATAATTCATCGAGTGTAGTTCAGGTGTTTCCAAGAGTAATAATTAAAGTGTATTATCGGGAAATTCTAGTTTTTTTTTTGTTGTTTTACTTTTATTTATCAACGTTATGTTCCAATAACATGACAGCCTTGCTTCGATATCGATGATCGTTACGTAACATCCTACGACCTTCAGCAATATCAAGTGGCGGTGGCGGTGTGTGGATATATTTACTTAACCACATGGAAGTAAGATAATAAAATAAATACGAAAAATATTTTCACTGTGGACAATATCCCTTTATATATATATAATGACCTTAATAAAAATAATTGTTTGCTTTTTAACTTCATTCAATAAATATTACATTTTTTAAAATTATATTATTTCTGTTTTATTTTGTAGCTACTAAAATTCACGGACAGATCTACCTCACTATTTTTTTTTGCGTTATAAAATAGTAAATGAACAGATGACATCGTTTAGAATATTAATTGTTTATAATAATTTCTTTGTTGTTGTAAATAAAGCAACATTGTGTACAATTTGCAGTAATTATCTAAATACAAGAGGTAACAATTTCTACAGTGTATAGGCACAGCGTTGAGTATGACTGAAATTCACAGCCAACAACATTTTTTTTTTTCAATATATACTATTGTTTTTTCTTGATAATTTGATCACTAAATAAACTAAATTAACAAACAAACCATCGTTGCGAATAAACAAAATAAAAATGTAAATCTAAAAGTTTTTGATTATTTATATAATATACATACGAGAAAATTAAATATGATCCTTTTTCAACAAAAAAAAAATAAATTCAAACAAATAATAAAAAGTAAAACACTCACTATTTAACTTATGCATTCTCTCAGAAAAATTGCACAAGTCTTAAAATAATATTTAGTACAATAAAATTAGGTGTTATTAAATGCAATAAAAAAATCAAATTAGAATAGACAACATTAACTATTTCTTATTCTTCGTTGTTGATGACGATGCTCCTACGGGAAAGAGAGGCTCATCGGCGATGACTTGTGGCGTCGTTATAGAACCCTTGGCGTCAACATTGGACATTGGCAACGGTTCCTGCACCGTTTCCTCCAAAGAATCATCATTGAAGAGCTGACTGAAGTCCAGAGGCGTGGAATACGGGGCCAGTTCAGATCCGCTCATCAATGGATCTTCTGAAATTTACAAAAAAACAGAAATCAGTTAACGAAATTGTCGAATTAGGTTTTAATTGGTTACCTAATTTCATCTTTTCCTCGCTCTTTGTAGCAAGACCATAGGCCGGCGTTTCATCGTGGTTGAACAACTGCAAATATTTAATCTTTATGAAAGCATTGCAAATGCGCTACAGTGTAAACCAGACATCCGATAGAAGAAAAAAAAGCCTATGGAATGTCTGGGTTTTTGCTAAACAAAAATATGTACGGAATTATGAATCAATTACCCCTAGCAAAGTGTTGGCATCCAGTGTGGAATACCCGTTGAGCAGAGATTTCAGTTGGTCCAACTCGTTCTGTGTACTTTCCACGTGAATGTCCAAATCTTCGCTGTCAACAGATTCACATCTTTGAAACAAATTAATATATTCGAATTCTAGTACTTACACAGAATGCAATCGTTTCAGCGTTTGATTTGGGTCACGTTTTGCCACTGCCATGTCACTTTCGCTCTCTGCACTTAAATCTTTGATTGTATTGCTGTTATAGCTACCATTCATTAGGTTACTCAGTAGCGTATCCTGTGTTGAAGGATTCAAGAAAACTTTCAGGTTGTTGCTACTGCCGCCCGGTGCTTCCCAATTTACATTTGTTTCAATATCGTCAGGTAATTCAGTGTCGGAAATTAAATCGTCCATTTCGCTAGAAATCTATAATACCTGTCTTAAATATGATTCTTAGGTAATATTAAGAGTGTACTCACTATATCCGGCGATTCAAATAATCGGTCTACACCAATTTCTTCACTCGGTTCTGTGGCTTGTACCTAAACATTGTTCAAAATGTTTGTTTTTCACTTACAGTTGACGAAACTTGTGCATATTTTCAATTTATCCTAATTTATCTTAATATGCCCCAACCTGAATATAAGTGTTAATCAATGATACAGTATGAAATTATAACAATTATCTCAAGTACTATTTTTTTTAAATTAATGATATGTTATAGTCATGAATCTTCCAAGGTATGATATTGTCAAGAATGAAAACGACACAATATGCCCTTCCAATGCATTATATAATATATAATTATTGTCCCTTTCAATCTCATGGCATGTTAATTTGCAGTTAAAATGAAACCGTAATAGATGAACGTACTATTGCGAGAACAATATTTCAATAAAATCGCACTTTTTAGTATTGCATCATCAGTGTCCTATATAAGCAGCAAGTTGAATATTGCTTAATAATTAGATATTAAAATCTATTATAAGTATTATGTTTGCATTGTGTCTAAATGTGCAAATAACGAATTGAAACGAGATTCTACTAATCCGCATAAATAGGATACTGACTCTATGTAGAATTAGAATGTTTAATGTTACCTTAAATGCCCTTTCAAAAGTAATCTAGGGTTTCAATAAATCAAGTTGAATAATCTAAGATCACACCTATTTTAGGAACTGACTTTGCTTGTTTTCTCACCTCTTGTTCTAGATCTGTGTTTATCAATAAATCTTCCTGTGGTAATTCAGTATTGTCCAATTCATGTATGATAGGACCCTCTGATGTTGTAGATGAGCTTTTAGAAGATTTTGGCTTTTTAGGATTCTCATTGAGCATCAATGGGTATCTTCTTTTGACACCAAGGCCACTCATTCTACCAGTAGGTTGTACAATAGTCACCAGAAAATGTATCAACTAAAATGATAACCAATTAACTCAAATACTAATAATATCCATAGACTTACTTTATTGACCAGCTGCCTCTGTTTAATATGTTGTTGTCGAAGTAGAGCAAGTTCTCTCCATAGAATAGCATTTTCCTGTTTCATTGTTGTGAGCTGTGTGTCAACTGTATTTTGTCTACCTTTCAATTGTTGCATATCAGTTAAGAGTTTTGTTACTTTCTCTGGGCTCATTGTACTTGGTTTTGTATTAGTCAATGATATAGTTTGATTAGTTTTTGCAGAACCTGTTACTTTTCGTTTAATGAATTTCATTAATTCTGGTTTATTCTTTTGAAAATACTGATGAAAGAATTGTATTTCATCTTTGTCATAATCCATAGCACCATTCTCAATCGTTGACATCTTATGAAATCCATCTGCAACATACCAAGGAGATTTAACCTTTTTCTTTGAGTAACAAGTATTTTACTTACACATGTTGAGTTGCCTTACGAAACTGCTCATGTTGTTGTGCTTGTAATAAACTGGTAATAACTCATACCAAAACTGAGCCTGGTTCTGGATAATGAAACTGCTACCCGTCTGAAATTGTTATTGGGATTGTTAAGGTATGAATTCAAGTAATATCATTTATTATTTGACACTTACGGGAGCCCAACAAATGAGATGATTTGTTGATGGATCATTAACCATTTTCCATAATTTATTTAAGAAAGCATTTACTTGACTATCTGCCATCGGCTGCATTTATATACGATTTCTTGTGATGTTATAAATGGTTATAACGTTATAAAATCATAAAACCTTAAAACACTGAAACCACAGAATACACAAACTCCAAAACGTCACTCACAATAATGAATTTAGCTACATATTAGGAAAGTGACATTCAATGTCAATACCAAGACGTCTCTTGTGTCTCTCTCTTACTCAGTTGATAATCGATATACGCTATTTCTCTATGAAAATACAATTCTTCTTATTGGTCTTTAATAAATTTGTTTAAATGATAGTGCAATATAGTGTGATTCACGGACCAATCAATAGTGAAAGTGAAAGATGATTGCCTTTTAGATAACTGGATAACTGTTAAAAGTAAAAAAAATCAACCTGTTACCTAATGCAATATACAATGAAGTTCACTTAAATGATCACAGCAGAACTTTCCACCCTCTCACCAATAACGTTTTGTTATTATGAGATAGTTGTAAACATTGGCACATGTGATATTAGTGTTAATTTGATAAAACCTTAGTATTTGCTAATTATGAGCAAGAATTTACCTAAATTAGGTTAAACTATTCGCACTATTTGATGATGATATTATTGCGCATTGTGAAAACACTAACAGCAGAGAATTGCGCAATGTTACAAGTTGCGCTTTATATAAGGTATTAGGATCGTTCATCTTTTTTTAGGATCACCCTGTATACGCATTCATATATAGATATTAGGTTGCAGGCGACGTAGGTAGGAGCAGCAGTTTGCGGGAATAGCTCGCCTCGATGGTGGAGTAGTCCCCCCGAACCCTTTGCAGTGTAAACAATGGTCTTCCTTTAGAAATAAAAATGTTCGCGTCGAAGCTGCCCAAATGCCACAGCATATACTACCTAGTGGTGAAGGCTAATTACAGCACTCAGCATGCGAGGGTTGTAATTGGGGGTGCGGGGGTCGTGGGTAATTCCGTGGCATACCATTTGGCAGCAAAAGGATGGACAGATGTTTTGGTATTGGAGCAATCGACTATTGGCAGTGGATCTTCGCATTTTGGGTCGGGAACGTTGGGACTTTTTAAGCCAATAGCGGACAGAGATCTAATTTGGTATAGTATAAAATTATACCAAGAGTTGCAGCAGAAGGGTTATGACATTGAAATGAAAAGATGCGGCAGCTTAAATTTAGCTAAGACAAAAGATCGACTTATTGCTCTCAAGAGGCGAATAGCGTACAACGTTCCAACTGGATTGCAATGCGAATTGCTCGATTCGAAGGCCGTTAAAGACTTACACCCCTATTTATTCACTGAAGATCTGGAAGGCGCTGTTTGGATTCCAGACGACGCCGTTGCGAATCCAATTAAAATTTGCCATGTTCTGGCTAAACTAGCGCAAGAATACGGAGTGCGATATAAAGAGAATGTCATCATTAAAAATGTTTTGACTAAGAACCAAAGGGTTTACGCAGTACGCACCAACGAGGAGGTTATTCACTGCGACTATTTCATCAATTGCGCGGGAATGTGGGCCAGGGAGTTGGGTTTGCAGTGCAATCCTAAGGTGCGGATACCGGCTTATCCCGCGGAACATTTCTATGCGCTTACCAGTAACCTGAACCTTGAAGAAGGTTTGCCTTGCGTTAGAGATTACGATTCCAACTCGTACATACGCCAAAGTGGAAGCGGATTTTTGCTAGGTTGGTTTGAGCAGGAAGCGAAAGCAGCCTTCGATGATCACCCGGCTATACCTAAAAATTGGCGGCATTACTTACAGCATGACTGGGCGCAATTCGGTACTTACCTATCCCCTATAAGAAAACAATGTGTAATATACATTTTTTAGAAAATTTTTGGAAAAAGTCTATGCACAGGATTCCAATGCTCAGTAGTTGCCCGCAACCTCGCTTGATCAATTCCCCCGATAATTTTACACCAGATGGCAGGTGGATTTTGGGAGAGATGCCTTCAGTATCAAATTATTTTGTTGCTTGTGGCATGAATGGTAATTCCTTACAGGTAACAAGAAAAAATTACTTGTTTACAATATGTTTATAACAACAAAGATTGTAGGGAGCTGGAGGAATTGGTAACGCAATGGCAGAATGGATAATTGAAGGAAGGCCAACTAAAGACCTTCTACCATTTCACGTGCAAAGATACTTAGATGTTCACAATGGGCGACAGTACTTACAACAGCGAATTAAAGAAGTTGTCGGTCGGTCGGTTCAAAATTTACACAACATTTTCCAACAACCAACTAATTGAATGTTTGTTTTTCAGGCATTACGCTATCTTGTACCCGTTGCAATGCGAGTATAAATACGCTAGAAAGGTGAGATGTTCGCCGTTGTTCAGCGTGTTGGAAACGAAAGGTGCTGTTTTCGGTATAAAGATGGCATACGAAAGAGCATTGTATTTCGATACGACTTGTGGTGACAAGAAACCGACTATGCCTCCAGGCAGTTTCTACAAACCACAGTTCTTCAATTTCATGAAGGAGGAGCACAACGCATGCCGCGAAGGTGTCGGTATCATCGATATGTCTTCATTCTCGAAAATCGATATCAAAGTGAGAAAGTAAATCATCTACAATAGAAGTATATTTTATTTGATGTTTTGTAGTCGGACAGGGCAGAAGATGTAGTGGGTTATTTACAAAAGTTGTGCTCGAATGAGGTAAACATTCCTATAGGGAGTATAGTTCATACGGGTATGCTTAATGAGCACGGCGGTTACGAGAACGATTGTATGCTGGTCAGGCAAGAAGAGAACTCGTTCTTCATGGTGTCTCCTACTAGTCAACAGACACGAGTCTATGAATGGTTGACCAAGAACCTATCTTCGAAATCTACAGTTGCGCTAAACGACGTTACGTCTATGTACACCGTCCTAAATGTCGTGGGGCCAAAGGCTAGTGAACTTATTGGCGAATTGTCCAACAGCGATATGCTGCTTCATTCATTTACTTACAAGAAGGTCAACGTTGGTTATGCTTCTGATGTTATGGTTATGTCATTTACACATACGGGCGATCCAGGATACTGCCTTTATATACCCTCCGAGTACGCTTTGCATGTGTACGAGAAACTTATGGTTGTAGGACGTGATTACGGTGTTAGAGATGTGGGTACTTTAACGCAAAGGTTCATGAGAATCGAGAGATTCATCCCATTTTGGGCTGAGGAACTAACTAGCTTCACAACACCTTTTGAAGCAGGAAATGGTTACAATGTCCGTCTAGATAAAGTCAGTTAATAGGATTACATAATTTATTTTTAGTTATATATCAATTTGATTTCAGAAAGATCATTTCATTGGTAAAGAAGCTTTAATGAAGCAGAAACGCGACGGAATACTTAAGCAGCTTGTCTTTTTCCAACTGAACAAAATCAACATCGACGTTGATATCTGGCCTTGGGGAGGCGAACCTATCTATAGGAATGGGGAATTCGTAGGAACGGTTACATCGGCTGGGTAATTGTGCCATTGGTAAATCACCAATTCACTAATTGATTAATATTATTGTTCTAGATACGGTTTTTCCACGAACAAACTAATAGCATTGGGTTTCCTACGTCGGCCCAAAGATTCTCAGGTGAAGACGGTCACCACCGATTACATCCTATCGAAACAGGCGAAATACGAAATCGACATTGCAGGCAACAAATTCCCTGCGACGCCTTACATTCACGCCCCTATTTTTGCAACAACAGTTTCGGAGAGGAGGAAATATAAACCAACAGCAATAAGATCAAAAGCTTTCATGTAATTCAAGTAATAAACGTAATCGGTGTGCATTCGTGATCAATTCGTGCGCCCTCGGATGTCGCACGCGATTTTCATCGAAGACGCAATAAAAACATTATTATTGAACGTAATAATAAATATAATTAAGTACATAACATATGAACAATCACAGCCAGCGAACCTCTTATGAAATTGTGGCCCTTAAATAAAAACAGAAACAATTTTATTTGTGTTAAATAAGTACTATCAAATCATATACATTTCACGGTAAGTATATACCTATACTTGATGGCCACTGATTGCTTGGATTGACTAGAAAAAAAACATCAATGTTATATTTGCATGGTTACTTCGCCAATGCTTTTATCCTTACCGGCGTTACAGATGAGGAGTTGTCTCTCTGATATGTATCATTATCTACGATACAAATGTCTGAATCGGAATCGCCTAGATTTCCATTAGCATTTTCCTGAAGGTTAAACTGCTCATTGCCAATGCTAACGTAATATGGTGGTTTATTTACCTGAGTCATTTGCTCGGTCGTCGTTAAAAGTCGGGCAATCCCGTTGCAGCAGACTGGTAAAGTTTCTAACAATGTTGGACGAGAGTGGGTAAGCAACGGCTTCATATAATTAGTATCAAAAGATGACCACCAACGTGCTAAAATAGCCTTGTCATATGGCGAGTTCGGCCAGTCAACAGTGCCGTCCTGAAATTATACTTAGTTAACATAATATCTTGGAGCCGGTAATGATGCTACAAGGAGTTGCAATAAATATAAAGAAAAAAAAACATGCATTACGTCTACGACTTCAAATTCCAACTAAAAGTAAATATTAGGATTTTAATTCTTACATTTCGTCGAGTATCCGGTTCCTCGTCCACTCCAACTCTACAAACAATAACATACAAACAGTATTAGTAAACATGAGAAATACTCGTTGATTGCTCAGTAAACATACGGTATTTTGAACCAGTAGAGGAGATTCAAAGCCGAACCGCCTTGTATAATTACAGTTATTATCACAATGAGAGAAGTAGTCGTAAGCATAGCCTGTCTGGCTTCGGATACGGTGTTCCTAATTGCTAAAGCAAACGACATAGCACCGCGAAGACCTACAAAACAAATACAAAGTTCATCACTTTATTTATTTATTCAAACGCTGAACTGCAGCTACCTGCAAAGAAGAGCATGTGCTGAAAGTTGGTTGGTATCTTTGGGGAACGCCAGAAGTTCATCAACCAAGACAATGGATAGATATTCACGGCTCGTCCAATAGCAGCGCAAGTCTTAAAAATCCTTAAGGAAATAATACTGTATGTATATAGTAGTATATTGACGAGAAACCATATGAAAAGGATACGAATCCAGCTACTATGAAAAGCACATCAAAGTGGTGCTTAGGAAATGTGAACATCGACACACCGATGTAAGAAAATATGAAGTTCTCAGCGAGGAAATTCAGCAGTTCGAACATTTGTTTAGTTCGATTTCTTGACTCATCAGATAGATTGTTGTAAGTATAATGTGCTTGGCAGATTCCGCAAAACAGAACAGTCACGACGCCTGTAATTTAAATTATTATTAAGTTTTTCTGCATATACTATGCATTTAGAAGCTGTAATTTGAAACTACGAATGTGCTTAAGCTATATAAAAATAAAAACGCAAATTTATCATGAATAAGTATCTTTACCTGTAAGTTCCGTTGCTTCAGCAATTAAAAACGTGCTGTAAGACATCAGAACAAATAAAGCTGACTCGAGCAAAGGAAAGTCTCGTATTCTGGTGAATTTCGTCATGTGATTCTATTATTAAGAAAAATAATATGCATTTTTTGCATGAAACGTAAATAAGAGACACAAAGAAATATAAAAAAGGATATTAATGCAGTAATCATTCCCATGACAGCGCCAATAAGTAGAGACAGCATAAATATAGCGAAAAAGTTCCACACGGCTTTGAAAAATGCTACTGTTTCAAATGTGCCAGTTCCTGATTGATACTTTTCGGCATAGTTCTGAATGGATCTGAAATGGAAGAGATTGAGTATGGTGTTCAATTGGATTAGAATGATCCCTCGACGACTCACCCACTAAGAACAAGAGCAACAGCGTCGTTTAAAACGCTTTCACCAAAAACCAATGCATACAAATTAACATCCACGCGAAGATCACTAAAGATCGCTAGCACCGTAAGTGGATCTGTGGAAGAAATAAGTGCCCCAAAGTATAGAGTGTCTAAGAATGTAATACTGTTCGCCATGTGAGAAGGCATTAATTGAACACAACCATACATTAAGGCCCCAACTACAAATGAAGACACTGTTGTACCAATAATGGCGAATGTTAGTATTGCACCCAAGTTACGGAAAAAATATTTCTGGAAATTTAGTGTTAATTTACATTCTACCAAATAACTGTGATTAGTTATAATTGTGATTGAAACAATATTTACCCTTTTCAATGAATATCCAGCATGGAAAATTATTGGTGGCAAGATAATGTTAAAAAAGATTTCAGGATCAAAAGTTGCTTTAAAGTCAATTTCATTATCTCTCACGTCCCTGATCTCTCCACGGAACATATACTCATATGTTTTATTCTTGCTGTGATACTTAAATGGAAAATGTAGTGATAAGGCATCTGGTGGTAAACTTGAATTGTATTTTGCATCATTGGACACCACTGACATTCGTAGGACAGGATCACTGCTGCCTGCATACCTTATTATTGCACCCACAATCAATCCTAAAAATCATTATGTCATGATGAAATATATAAAATTGCAGCACATTTCTTACCATATATAACAGCCAAACCAGTTTCATGTAAAAAGCTGACTCTCCTATGTTTGAACAACCAAACTGTGAGGACAGTCAGTATCAGAAGGAGGGTATATAATAGCAAATTTAGTGTATCCAACCGGTGAGTTGTTTGTGCTCTAGCATCCAACTCTATATCTGAATCAGCACCAGAGCATTCTCTTAATAGCAATACTCCAAAAAATCCAAGTAAAGAGCTCCACATCTTTTCTCTTAGTAATTGTCAACAAATAAATTACAGATTCGTACGTCGCACAGAATTTAACTTATTTTGATAACGGTTTAAATTCAAACCGCAAATATAAACACTGTACTGATAAATACTGGATTGCATAGGTTTGCATAAAGCGGCTCAAGGTTGGTTAAAATATTAAAGGTGACAGTTGACAGGGTTGGCAATAATTTCAGGAAAAAGAGAAGGTACACGGTTACGGAATTGATCGCAATACAATAAAATTAGGAACGCAACCTCAGTACGACTGCTTCTGTAACTGAAATAATTGATTAATATGTTGTGATCTTGTCTGATGCCGATAAAACCGTATGGGTCACTTGTTGTGACGCCGTGCGTTGCGTCCAATTCTTGGATTTTATTTATTTGCTTAAATTCCAATTAGATAACTATTTCTGTGTACAATATACTTATGATTTGTCATTGAACTTGCTAATTGGCACTTGGCACAGTAACACAATTTTCAGTTGGTAGTAATGCCTGTGGGTGGCGAAAAGCAATGTCAATACGCGAGTAAATAAACCATGGTCTGTTGAATTGGATCGTATTCTTAGAAGAATTGTGAAAGATGTGATTGAATGTATTTTGTCATTGTAAGGAAAATAATCAATTATTAGACATGAACATACGATACCGACTGATAATTGTTGTATTTGTAAGCATTTTGGTTCTATGGAAGACATTCCAATACTATGGTATTTATACAGATCAAGAAAAGAGGTTAACTCGATTGGCAATTAACAATGACGACCAAATTAAGGACCAAATCAGAGTATCTGTGTATTATGAATCACTGTGCTCCGATTCCAGAAATTTCTTTATCAAGCAACTGCTTCCCACATATTTGGAGTTATCAAGTTATATCAGTTTAGACTTAATACCATATGGAAAGGCCAAGGTTTGAAAATTGTTAATAAAAAACAAAACACTAATCTTTGTTATGCTTTACTTACATACTTAATATGTTTCAGACCATTGAAGATAATGGCAATATAGAATTTGAATGCCAGCATAGAAGCACTGAATGTCTTGGCAACAAGATACATGCTTGTGCAATTGATCAGATCTCAAATCCACTGCAGGCGCTGAAATTCGTCTCTTGCAGCCTCGAGGATGGTATTTTACCCTATGAAGCAGCAGAAAGGGTAAGCATGCTGATGATGTGTTGATTGATGTGCCATTATTTATTTGCTTTTACAGTGTGCAAGTGAGAATGACCTGGACTACAGGAAGATTGTTGAGTGTGCAGACAGCAAGGAAGCTTCAATTATGCTGAAAGAATACGGCAAACGCACAGACGCTGTTCAACCACCAATTACGTTCATACCGACAATTGAATTGAATGGTGCACAGACAGTGCCACTTCCTAATATCTTGAAAGACTTCAAAAAAGTATTATGCACAACTATAAAAGATGTTCCTGAAGCGTGCATGTAAATCAATTTTAGATAGGTGTGAATTTCTCTTTACTCATGAAATGTATAAATGTGAATATATATATTACTGAACAAAACTCCTGTCTTCTTATTAAAAGTCATACCAATAGAATGTTTGTTATTTTTATTTGATAAGTTGGAAAACAAGAGTGACTATCTTGTAGTTCTGATAAGATATATTGAGGGTGGTAGAGGAAGTGTAGCAATAATAAAATGTAATTAATCTATTAACTTTTTTAGATTACAAAATATCAAAGGTTATAATAGTACAATACTCTCATATACAATTATTATTATTTTCATTGCAGCATTGAAAAAGGTTTCCTCATATTATAATTATTATTTTTTTTTATCGCAACAATAATTTACATTATAACACAAGTAAATACATTTAAATCATTTATTTACAAAGTAATTGGTATTTATTGGTACAAATAAAGGCTCAGGATGCAGTCATATACTATTTAAAAAAAGGTGCATATATGATGCTATAATTTGTGATTGCTTGTAAGCCATGTGAGGCCTTCGTATAAACCGTCGCCGGTGGTTGCACAGGCGGGCTGCACGTACCAATTGCGGTCGCGGATTCGCGTGAGTCCAAGTTTCTCTTGAATTTCGTGCGGCTTCATTGCTTCTGGTAAGTCTTGTTTATTGGCAAATATTAAGATGATGGCGTCGCGCATCTCGCGATCGTTGATGATTCGATGCAGCTCCTGTCTGGCCTCATCAATGCGGTCCCTATCTGCACAGTCCACAACAAATATAAGTCCTTGTGTACCAGTGTAATAATGCCTCCAGAGTGGCCTAATCTTGTCCTGCCCACCAACATCCCAAACATTAAACTTAACATTCTTATAGGTGACAGTTTCTACATTGAAACCCACTGTGGGAATGGTGGTGACAGATTGGCTTAGCTTAAGCTTATAGAGAATCGTTGTTTTGCCTGCTGCATCCAAGCCAAGCATCAGGATCCTCATTTCCTTGTTGCCAAAGATCTTTGACAGTAGCTTTCCCATGTTTCGTGTTTTTTTTTTGCTTACTATGCTGTTTGTGCTCTGAAATGCCAATGGTAATGTAATAAAGCATTCCCCCCCATACTACCCACCTACTTACATGTTATATGGAAATAAACACTGCGGATATATACTATTCTATGGAATCTTCACTATGCTTAAATTATTTAATTACTCTTCTAATGCAACAGTCTCTTTTTTAGTGTCATCATTGGTTGCAATGATTCTGCTGAGATATGATAATAGGGTCACTAATAATGTCACTTGTACTGTTGTATCCTATCAACCATTTACTTGGAAGCTTGACAATGCTCTCCGGAGGGCTGATTCCACAGCAGATTGGATCTAGATCACTTTCGCGTGCATCTCATTCGAGGCGAAATTCTTCTATATTGTTCTATGCAATGCGATAAGGATAAAGGTGTGTAAGTTTATTATATCACTATGGCGGGTCAACTAACGGGACGGGGGAATCGATCACGAACCGTCCTCGCGCTCTTCTCGAACACACGAAAAGATCTGCCTTTCTACTGCCCTTCGACCTGCACCAACCACTGAACATTGACGACCCTTAATATCACTCGTTTCCTCTACTGAACGGCTCCAATTCGATATCCATATTGCCAAACCTATTTGACGCACCGTTCAGTGGTTGTGTATGTCAATCACCGTCAGCGAATCAGCCATTGAGAAATGGGAGGCACAGTTCGGTTATAGTCCGAACGCGTCCGGCCACGCCCGAACTCGATGAATTCAAATACTTCTAATCATTCAATTACCGAACGACATCCGTCTTATCAATTATTCACAAACACATCATATTCCTAATCAAATACTTAACATTACAACACTCGGCTGTTGTCAAATCAATATCTTCATCGACAACAAAAAGAATAAGAAGAAGAAGAGAAAAACAACACTGTCAGAGAGGACGTAGCAACCGCAGTAAAACAGTTTCCTTCCTTATCCGACTACAAATTGAAATCTTCTCAATTGTCCTGCCGTATATGTCACCATCGAGATTTCCCCCATTTTCATTTCTTCTTCCTTCCTCATTACATCTAAGTCAGTCGTTCTTAACGTTTTTTTTTTCGACTCGTGACCTAGATTTAATCTAATTATTTCCGCCCGTCCGTTGGAATGTAATAACCACTGTCCCTGAATCATCGAACAAGAAATTTTGTATAAAACCTTAAGTTTTAGGGAAAGCTTAAAGGAAAAGGGTTGTTTCTTAGTTATAGGTTATGTTTGCCCTCGCAAACGGAAATTCTGCACATTAGCAGTCTCTCCAGTCTCGTAATAACAATAAGATTTTAGCATTAATTTATGTATAGCGTATTACAGGATAATGGTTCCGGAGGTATTTGGATTTCCCTCCCGTATTGCGTGACGCGCTTGGTGGTCCTTGACGTCATGCACAGAAGCAAATGGAAATGATGCTCTGATTAACCATTCCGTTTAAATGATTTAGTCTAAAGTTTCTATTCTTTCACATTTCCTTTCTATATTACAAATACAGTTTAAACTGCTTTCTTTATTTCATTTCAACCCTTGAAAATATATTTAACTATTATATTTTAATTGGAAACAAGATTATAATTCTTCTTCCTATACATTTGACCGGCTTCTCATGATACCATTAAGATTATAATAAAAAACTTGTTTAGTTGTATGTAATTTTCGTATTGTACATATATATTTGTACAATATCTTTAAACTAATTAACAAGAAATATATATTGATTAAACGCCGGATAAAATAATAATAATAATAAAAGTTAAGAAAACTAAAACGACAATGGAATTGAAAATATAAAATAGAGAAAATGCGGTGAATAGAGATATGGATTAATCGTGACCAAAGTACAAGTATAAATTAGAGATATGAAATCAATAAAACATAGAAGGAAGATGAACTTTCGATTGGGGGTATCTAAAAATGTTGACTCTGTACAAATTTCAATTACAATAAATTAATAAAAATTAAGAAAATTTTAATCGATTCAATTTATTGATGTATTGTTATTTTGATAAAATTTCTCAATGACTGTACGTGAATCATTGTTTGTCATTATAGTAAATCAAAAGTAATTGAAAATGAGGAATGTTTGATTTAAAAGTAAACAAACTAATCATAATTAAAATACAAAACAGATATGAATAAAAGATATTAATAAAATAAAGATCACAAAATTTGGATCAGATTGTTTTTATTTCCAATATTGGTTTATATTTTATTTAATTACTATTTTTTTATTGTCTATAATTTGGACTTATTGATCGAATTTTTACTGTCCTTGATTTATAATTATATAATTAATTCGGATTTCCTTACTTGCTTTTCAAGTTTTTAATAGAATTGAATTTATGTCTAGTTTTTGTGAATCATATGTATGCGATAATTGTCGAGTGTTTGAATTGGAATTATACAATCAGTAGTGTCATGGATTATTTGATGTTTTGTCACGAATACCATAAGATCAAGAAAGTTTTCATATAACTTTATATATTATTATATATAATCCGGTTAGAAGATTTCAAAACAAACTAAATTTTAATTGAGTAAAGTCGGAAAGAAATATTTTAAAATAAAAATAAATTCTGAAATTTTTATCATTTTATGTTCCTCGATTAATTCTAAAGAAATTGAACATGGAAAATTAAATATATGAATCAATCCGGTATACCATACTTGATGATATTGAAAAGATGGCAATGAAATTCGTCATCATGAAAAATTTAAATAAAGTAACAATGAAATGGAAATCATAAATTACATTATACATCGAAAAATGGACATACAGGATAACCAGGATCAAAATACAAACAAATATAAATAAGGAAGAAGAAAGCAATAACAATCTATATTTTAAATAAAGCTCAAAAAGGAAGAAGAATCGCGTCTTCTTACTTCTTAGATATACTTATGTATATCTAAGAATATATAAATTGAATAGAAATATATATATATATATAATAAACGGCAGGAAGTGTTATGCAACAGATGAATAAAACGAGCAAAGTGAGACCAATAAATAATTACAAACACAATAGCCGATAAACAATTAAAACTACAATAGTCAATAAATAAATATAAAAAACAAGTGTAACACAATTGCATCTTCGTGATCTTATTTAATGTGTTTCTTTGATAATATAGTACAGGTGTGGGCAAATGCGGCTCTTTTGATAAGAAATTGCGGCTCACAGTTGAAACAAGTGGTTCTTTGCTCCAAAAGATTGTATATTATCGAATATTATACATGATTTTAGAAACTATTCAAAAGGCACTGGAAGGAGTTTGTTGGAATAAGAGTATATGCTTGTAATTATTCAAGAAACAAAAACTTGTTTGCGTCGGTCATTATTGATTCTTATTTACTTATATTTCTGCTCTTGTTTTTCTCTTTTTGATGAACGTGAATTAATTCAACTACATGTATTGTTTACCTGTCCGTTTAGCACTTCACAAATATTGTTTTGTATCATTTTCGTATTATTACTAATGCATGCCATGTAACAAGTCATTGTTAATTGTCTTCTTTCTTTTTGTTTGACCTCAATCACGGACATTTTTTAACGATTGGTAATTAATGTAGGCACGTTTGTTGCGATCCTCTATTTTATAGATGGAAACCATAACTGAATATGTATTTACTTGGCGTAGAAGTTTATAAGATTTTCCTTTTCGTCAATAGTTTTATTGGAAAATCACAGTTATTTCTTATATTTTACTCTAATTTATTTCTGTATTTAAATATAGTTTTCTTTCTATTTTTCTTAAAAAAAACAGCTTTATTAAAAAGTATCATTTATGTATATAATCATAATGTTGTGTAAAGAAATTCCTTCTATATCCCGCACTGTTTGAAACCGGACTAATCGAGGACTTTAAAACCGTAGAGAAAAGTTGATTTTATTTTTATCAATTAAAATTTAGATTGTTTTGAAATTTTCAAATAGTTAAACCGGACTGATCAAAGACGCACTATATGAGGTGTTAGATATATATGTTAGAATTTAAGTAAATAAAATCTTCTTATAGAAAATTGTGAACTTTACAATATATGTAAAACGGAGATTGCAATTTGTTACAAGGTCTACAACAGGTTTAATTAATTTATTTTTTTTACTTATTAATCAATATAAAATTTGAGTATATTTTAATATTTTCTTATATAGATAATAACGTGATCTTAGATTTGTATTTGATTTAAGTTTTATATTTTATAATTATTATTTTCTTAATACTTAAGTTAATAGATTTTTCGCAGAAATTAGTAAATAAATATAAATTGTATACAGCTTATTTTTTTTTCTAATGTAAACTTTAGTAGAAATTGTCTATCAGTTAAGAATTATTTAAGGGCTCACAAAACTATTTGGGACCTACAAAAAATAGTTGAAATAGAATTCATATCTTGAATATAATGTTAAGTTGTCAAGATGCAGACATTCGACATATAACGTCCGCGTCGTCATCTACTTAACAGGTGGCTAGGACCCACGGCTCTTGGGAGATCCAATATCTATTCTAATTACATTAGAATGATGTACATTTCCATTTAACTATCCATTATAAAATCAATTATCCTGCATTCTAAAAAATAAAATTAATTGAAATAAATATTTTTTAATTTTTGTATTAATAACATAATATGTAAAGGTTTGAAATCCGTCAGCATTATTTGTGCCGTTAAGGATATGTCGCGCCAGAAAATTACGTTGCCCGTAGGAAATAACACGGGATTGCATAATATTTACGTAACATGTGTCACGTACATACGAACAACACGGATCCGCAATTATAGCAAATGCACCACGTGTCCTGACCACCAAGTCACGAGACTTCTGCAGAACCTCCTGCCTTTGATCCGAATGGATCCTGACTGACTGCAACATTTCCGTGCTTCGACTCTTAAAACAGCCTCCATCCACGCGATATTCGCAGTAACAGAGAAGCAGTTTCCCAAAATTCCAGACCTGACTAATTAAAAGATCGCGCTGAACAGTTCACAACTACATTCTTTTTTTTTTAATTATTTATATTCAAATTTAACTAGCATTGACTTTAGTTGCAATAATTAGTGCATCCAGCGTAAACAAGAAATAATCCAAATGCTTCTAGGCGAAATTGTTATATCATTAAAAAACAATTAGACTTTTTGTTTCATTATTTCATATTATTGTGATTTTTTTGTCTTATACTCGAAAAAATAACATATAATGTATAAATAAATAAGATATAATAACAAAGTTATATATATATATAAAGTTAAAGATTTTGCTTTAAAATTTTGGGCATCTTTTACAAGAAGTTGTATTCAATATTATGTTATGTTTTTTCATCGAATTTTGACTTATTTCATTGACACATCACAATGTTTATACAATCGCATTGTACCTAAAAACCAAACGAAATGAAGATAGTGAATTTCGAATTTTTGTGAAAAGAATCAAGGTAGACCACAGTCGCACCCAAAAAAAAAATGTAAAAAATTCCTGGAAAGGAATATGGTACCATAAAGACTAGGGATGTTCAACATTCTGGACCTACCGCATAGATTTAACTTAATTTATTGTGATTGTAATTAATACTCATGTTTTGTATGTAAACTAATATTGGACGTTTCTGTTGAAATTTCCATTTACATGATAATAATAATAGCATATAACTAATTTAATTAAAGTCCTCTTAAAAATGGATTCTAAATTAAAGTAGATCAATAAAATAACAGGTAGTTTTTCGAAAATTTCAAGTTTAAATAAAAGTTTGTAAATTTAATCTAAAATTTTAAAGTTTATGAATTTAATATCGTCTATAACGAAATTTACTAATTACTTTTACTTAATCTACTAAATGAAATTAAGATGATATAAAATATGTAAATTAATTAGTCACAGAATGCGACTGATATTTAATTAATTGTACTAAATTAAGTGATTATTAGAATATAAAAAATATATAAAATTGAATGGTTGAAAGAAAATTTTGAAATAGAATTGTGGAAAATGGTAGATGTACGTTTTTTGGCCTGCAATTAAAACACCGACACTGCCGGAATAGTAATGAATCCGTGATTGATTCATCTTCCGTTCTTCGTATATTCCGGTAAAGCAAATGCTAGGATCGTCGCGGCCCATGAATATTATCATTATTTTTGGTTTTCTTTTCGTTCGTTTCGGTCGCTCTCTGCTGTCGGTTTTGTTGCTCGCTGAAATCGTAGAAGGATAATTTAAGTTCGAAGTTGAGATGCTTTTGGTGTAGTGTGAATGCGCCTTAAGAGGGAGAAAGATAAAAGGAAAATTTTGTAAGGAGTCTGTGTGTGGCCCAGCATCGGATGCAGCCGCCGCCGCTCGGTCACCGACGGCCGGACACAAGCTGTCGCCTGTTACCATCAGTTACCATTCCGAGAGTGGTAGTATGCACGGAAAGCTGATGGTAGTGGTGCTGGTGTGTGCGGTGTGCGAACGACTCGACCCTTGGTTTACGTGAAACATTATCATCGAATTTAAATACCCGCGCCTTGTGTAGGGTGAAGTAAATACACAGGACGTGCTGCTAGGACGAAGGTTTGCCTAGCCGTTCAACACGCTCGACCGACATCCCTTCCGTCCCCTCACAAGAAGAAGGGATCACCGTATTTTTATTTTCACTTGCCTTCCCTTTCTGGATAACCGTGGAGATCACAGAAAGCCCGAACCCTAACTCCTCCCTTTCCCCCTCGTGCGCCCTGCCTGGGCTCCTCACTATTCTTACTACTATTTCTATTTCGTTTGTTTTTGTTGTTGTTGCTGCCGTTGTCATTCTTTTTCGGGTTCATTTGAGTGTTATTTTTGGTGCGTTCCGGAGCAAGAGTAAATAAATAGTAAACATCCCGTCCAAATGGGTTAAACATGATCGGAACCCAGTGCGAATTAGTAGATTTGACGACGAGGATGGTCTTCCGCAGTGCGGTGGTTGTGCTTTGTGCCCTCCGCAGGACGTGCTGAATTTGAAGGGAGCTAATGGTAACCCACGAAGGAAGTCCCATCCAGAGCACTGGCCACGTAGAGGAGGATGGCCACTACTGAGTCGCAGGTAGACACGGAACGGCACAAATCCGATCTCTACACTCGACCTGGCTGGGTTGATGCCTATGTCGCATTAGAGCAAATCGAACAGGTAATTGTTTATTTCATATACATAGTATCCGCGAACACTTGACACCCCGAATCCCCGCCGCCCCAGCGCGCGCGAGAACCGCGAGTATCGCGTCCTGGTATTGCTTAGGTCGCGGAATTGGTGGTAGTATTGGTTCGACAAGTGCTCTTGGTGCTCTCGCACGCACACACAATGCGAGCGGCAACTTCGGTGTCTTCGACCACTTCGTCCAAATAGCGCTATAGCTAGATGGATGATATGATGTAGTATGATGGTCGCCGGTGAGTATGCGGTATTGCGCCGAAATCAGGTGTGATATATCATTCTGGTGCCCGCCTGAAATCGAAGGCTGGTGGGCGATGTTCCGTATTACGTTATCCTCGGCCGGAGACCACCGGGAGAGCGACGTGTGTGGTCCATACCTATGCTAGCTTAGCTCTTTAGATCTTACCTGTTGTCTGTCTCCGTCCCACCCGCCGACCCTCGCATCGTCCATCCCGTCCCCCCTCAAGACTCCTTGCCCCGCCGTCGATCCTCTCGCGGGAACAACCAACCTTGTCTCTCGCGTTATTCTCTTTACGTTATTTGTAAATAAAAACACAATTTCATTTAATTGACGTCATTATAATGCAAACTACGAAATCACCTGTGATGCGCCCGTCGTAACTTTTCCCGCATTTTCACATTTTCTCATTTTATTTTTCGCATATTCAATTTCCTTTCCTTCACATCCTTCTTATATTTGTTGTTCTTATTTATTATTGCCTGTAATTTATTTTTACATCTTACTTCAATTTTATATTTTATGTGCGTATTTCCTTTTCCTTCTTTTGTTTCTTTTTTTGTGCGCGTTTGTACGACCATCAGGGCCAGCGGGGTTCGGAGGTTTTTTTCTATCTCATTCTCTTTATTTTTGCTGCCTCTTTCTTTCCTTGTTCGTTTTTTTTTGAGGTATTGATAGGGAAAATGGATGCACGGATGGACGGACGTCGGTCCTTCTGAGAAGGACTGGGTTTTATTGGTGTTTCGTATACGTAGCCGCGTCTTGTGTGGTCCAAGTGACGTCAGGCCTCGACTTGGGTGGTCCCTTTCGAGTAATACCGTGTGTCTGTCTGTTGCAGGGCAAGGCGATAGGGGATCGCGGAGTGCTTTGGGTGCGAGTGCGGTTGCAAAGGCAAGTGCACTCGCTGGGCCGCTTCCTGGACGCACACGCTGGAAAGGTCCTGTTTGTTGCACTCCTGGTGATCACCACGTTCTGCGTGGGTCTGAAGAGCTCTACCTTCCATTCAGACATCGAGCAACTGTGGGCAGAGGCGGCCGACGACGCCGCGACCGCGACGGATGATTCGCCGCCACCGGAGATCCTTTCCACCCATCAGATGGTGGTGCAGACCGCCGTCGATCCCGATGCTAGTTTGCTGCATCCAAACGGCCTCTTGGAGCACCTGCACCTAATCCGCAAGGCTTCGCAGGTCACCGTGACTATGTTCGACATTACCTGGCGTCTCAAGGACATCTGCCAGTCGCCGAACATCCCCAACTTCGACATCCATTACGTTGAACAAATGTTTGAAAATGTCATGCCCTGCTCCATAGTCACCCCCCTCGACTGCTTCTGGGAAGGTTCAAAGTTGCTGGGTCCCGATTACCCAGTGCATATACCGTAATTTGCAAACTTCCCAACTTATTAAACGAAACATTACTGACCATCTAATTTCTTTAGGTACGGTATTGGGAATGAAGTCAAGTGGACCAACCTAAATCCCCAGAAACTGGTTCAACGCATTAAGCAGAAGGAGTCGAACTTTGATTACCATTCGCTGGAGGACTACTTCAAGCGCGCCGGCATTTCGTCGGGCTACCAAGAGAAGCCCTGCCTAAACCCCAAGGATCCGGCATGTCCGGCCACAGCACCAAATCATAACTCTAGTCATCCGGTGGACATCGGCGCGGAATTAACCAATGGTTGTTATGGTTTTGCCGCTAAATACATGCACTGGCCGGAAGATCTGATCGTCGGCGGGGCGGTTAAAAACAAGACCGGCCACATTAGGCAAGCCAAAGCTTTACAAACCGTCGTACAACTAATGGGCGAGCATGAGTTATTCAAATATTACTCAGAAACATACAAGGTCCATCACATCGGATGGAATCATGATAAGGCGGCGTCCGTGCTCCGAGCGTGGCAGAAGCGTTTCTCTCAGGTACTTCTACTCTTCCCAATTCGCAAATATCTGAACGGAAATCCGTTTGGTTTATTTTCGGTATGTTCTTAAACGTCATAACATTTGGTTTGCTTTTTATAATTTACAGGAAGTTGATCACCTCAGCAGAAGCAACACGACCTCTTCACATTCATTCAACACCTTCTCCACGGCCACTTTAAATAAAGGGCTTGCAGAGCACTCGCAGATTAATTTTGTCGAACTGGGAGCAGTGCTTATCATAAACTCTTTCTACAGTTGGGTTGCTCATTCCGGTCTGGCAGCTTTGTGCGTTTTGATATTAGCCAGTTCTACGGCTGCCGGGTTAGGTGTGAGCAGTTTGCTCGGTCTACCCATGAATCTGCTCAGTACAAAAGTATTACCTTATGTGAGCGTCGGCCTTTCCATGATGGATGTGTTCCTTCTGTTGACGACTTACAATAAAAAGTTGGGACCGCCAGACCTACTTCAGCGCGTTGGACCTAGCATCATCACCTCAGCGGCCCGACAAGCTGCAGTCTTCCTAGCAGCGGCCCTTATCCCCGTTCCTGCCTTGAGGGTATTTTGTCTGCAATTTGCTATTGTAACCATTTTCCATAGCGCGGCCACCGTTTTGGTCTTCCCAACCCTTATTGCCCTAGAGATGCGTTGCAAACGATCAGCTGTTCCTTGCTTCAGAAACGAGAGCAGAGGCGTCCCCACCAATAATAATCTAGACAGGGTAAGCTCAATTATAACTTTATTTGCATGAAGTGTTAAATTAGCGGAAAAATGTGTAATGGCGATATTGTATGCAGAGTATACATTTTAATTATATTCAAATGATAATTTAATATATTACATTGAAATTACAATAATTTTTCCAAAAATATAGTTTTACCAGAATTTTACTGTATATAGAAAAAACAAGTTGAACCTTAAATACTATTAGGTGCAACTTAATATGTATTTTTATTGAATCTCAATATAAAATATGCATGCGAAATTTATAAGTCAAGAACCAATTAGCCTTATTAAGTTTATATTACTTTGATGGTAGATGTTCATGATAAAAATATGCATGGTATGACACTTCTAGTTCCGTCTTTTTTTGTACATTACGTACCTATATTTAAAGATTTAAAAACGTGCAAGATGAACAAGTAACATTATTTAAAAGATTAGTTTACCCACTCCATTCGTCTACGTGAAGGTTTAAAAATGTTATCCCACCTTATATATTTATATAATACATAATTAATTCTTAATTTAATAATATTTTTAAACTAGTAAAGTTTTTTCTTGTGATAAATACTGAAATAATTCATTTAGTATCTAAACTATAAACGAAATTATTTGGATGCACATTTAAGTCAACTGTATCTAAATTCTAGAATTAGATAATCATAACATTAATTTTTATGATTATATTATTATATTTTTTTATGGACGTTAGTTTATTTACCAACTGTAACATATTATGAAATACATTTAGTATATTGAATATAAACGATATTTTTTTGGCAACTGTTATTTTGGTTTTGGCACTATTAATGCATTTCTAAAAATATAAAGCATATAAGAGTTTGTAAACTATAAATTATTATACATAAGTGGATCAATTCAATATAATATGTTAAAAAGTATATATTATTATCGAAAGGGTTATACTACAATAATGGTAATTTAATTTTCAGGATCATGAAGCTAATCTCCTAACATCGGAATATATGTGCAACCAAAGGCGGAGTGTAATTATGTGGATTATTAACAAGTATTTAACGGTGATTATTTTCAAACCAATGATGAAAGTTTTGCTCTGCATTTCCTACCTGGGTTTGGTCGTATTCTGCATTTTCAACGGACTAAAGGTCGAATACGATGTCAGACTATCCAGCTTTCTACCAAAAAACACACAAGAATACCATTATTTGGAAGCGCAGAATCGCTACTTTGGTTTCTACAATTTTTACTTGGTCACCACCGAGTTGGAGTATCCGCTGAGTCAACCCATCTTGCACGAGTACCACTCATCATTGACGCAAGTACCACACGTCTTAAAGGATTCCAATGGTGGCCTGAATAACAACGATTTCTGGCTCTCCAATTTCCGCGAGTTCCTGGTTGATTTACAGGATGAGTTTAACAAGAACCGCAACCAGGGCTGTCTGAATAGTGAGAAGTGGTTCGCCAATGCCACCGAGAAAGCGGTGTTAGCATTCAAATTGCTCGCGCAGACTGGTATTGTGGAGTTCCCAGTTGACAAACTTCAGATATTCAATAAAAAGCTTGTAGAGAGCGGAATCATCGATCCGAAGGCCTTCTATAATTATTTATCTGTCTGGAGCAGCAACGATGAGATCTCATACTCGAGTTCGCAGGCGAATTTGATGCCTAAACCATTTCAGTATTACAGCGCGAAGAATGAATACGACTTGAAAATTCCTAAGTCGCAGCCTTTGACGTACACGCAGATGCCGTTCTATCTGAAGAACCTGCGTAGCACCGGCAAAATCATCGACACGCTAAAGAAAATACTCTCGATTTCGGAAAGCTTCAATAACAGGGGCTTGAAGAACTACCCCATCGGCCTAATATTCTCCTATTTTAGGCAGTTCCTATTCATAGATCGACTGCTGGCAATTCAGCTGACCGTAAGCGTGCTGTCGGCTCTGGTGATCACATGCATTTTAGTGCACTGGAGCAAGTTAGTCTGCCCAATGATTTGCACGCTGTGCAGTATGCTGGTGCTGTGTTTCGTGAACATAAATGGACTGACAGGAACCGTTGGGGCGTTGCACTTTATTATTGTGTTCCAAAGCGTTATGTTAATAATGCTAGGATTCCAGAACGCTTTGGGTGGTCGCGAACGGCGTATAAGACTGTCCGTTGAAATGTATGCGGAAATCATAATCAAAGGACACCTCGGACTGCTCATTTGCATAGCTGTATTGGCCACATCCCAATTTGAGTTCATATACCAAATGTTCAGGATATTATTCGTTTCAATTTGCATTTCTACTGTGAATTCCATGGTGTTTTTCCTAATAATGCTCTCGATATTTGGACCGAAAGGTGAGTTGCAAGGACTGCAGTACGTGGATAGGATAGCAACGCCACCTCCGAAGGCTTCGCCGCCTGCGCCCGTTCGGACGAGCAGCTACACAAAGCAATCGCGAAGGAGCGCTCCAACTAAGGCTACCAGAGAACCGAGCCTAACAACTATTACAGAAGAGAGCTGTAACCAGAGTATCGTTGTGGAACCTCAGGTGACTGTTGAGTATTCCAGTCCCGAGTCGACATCCAGCGGAGGCCAGTATACTACTAAAGTCACGGCAACTGCGAACATCAAGGTGGAGCTTGTCACTCCAGTTTACAGGAGTAAATGCGGTAAGCATCATTCGCAGAGCAGCAGCAGCAGCAGGAGCAAACACTCAAAGAGGCATTCGCAGTGCAAATGTTGCAAAAATGATACGGACAGTGACAGTAGCGGTGAAAGCCAAGAGACTGGGACGGAAAACTCGGTGAATAGCTAACATAGCTAACGAGTTGCGATTTCCTTGAATAACCTTTACGTGGCATGAATAACATTCACGCACATTTCGTATGTATAATAAATTGTGTATATTGCATATATGTATACCACTCATTTTTATTTATTCAACAGACATTGTAAGATAACGTAATTATTTTTTTTGTTTCTTTTTACGAGAAAAAATAACATTATTAATAAGAATTAAGGACCTTTTCGAATAGCACTATTATATTTATAATATTTGTATGTATTAAAACCAAAACAACCAGTATTTTTTATAAAAAAAACAACAACAAATAAACAATTTTTTCATCTAATTTATCCCGAACCATCCCGAATAATTATATAATTTACATGTACATGTTTTCCACTTGCTTGGTGTATTTATCCAGCACGAAGTTACGTTTCAATTTCATGGTAGGACCTGTAAGTAAGTTATTACTAGTAGTGGAGTATATAAGGTTGCAGTTCTGACTTACCTAATTCCCCGGTGGGTATGGAGAAATCAGCTGGTAGGATAGTCATTTTTTGAATTCGTTGAGCGTTTGAAGGAGCCGATTTGTTTGTTTCGTGTATGCCCTTCTGTATTACTTCTAATAAGTTAGGGTGAGGTCCAGCTGACAGAACATCGGAGACAGTATCCGCTGGGCAGTTCAAACTCTTCAGCCACTCCTTCGATTCTCTCGTGAGAACATCTGTTGGTGTGCCGTCACCTTCCACCTCTGTCTTTAATGTGATTAGTACAGATAGGAACTTCCGCCTATCCCCTATGAGCATTGCACCACTAATATGGGGAAGATGGGTCTTAAGTGTTTGTTCGATCGGTACCGGGGCCACGTTTTCGCCTCCGGCCGTGATCAGCAGTTCTTTAATTCTACCTGTAATATAAACTAAACCTTTTTTATCCAAATAACCAATGTCGCCCGAACAAAGCCATCCGTCCTCATCAAGTGTTTGCTTGGTCTTTTCCTCTTCGTCCAGGTAGCCCATAAAAATATGTCTTCCATACATGCAGATCTCGCCCTGCCCTTCCTTATCGGGATTGGAGATTTTAGTTTTACAACCCGGCAACGTCATGCCAATAGTACTAAAGCCGAACGCATGTTCAGTAGAAATAGTGTGGGCTCCACCTGCTTCCGACATACCGAAAGCTTCCATCACAGGAATGTCTATGCTCATAAAGTACTTCTTAATGTCCGCTGATAATGGCGCAGCGGCCGACACAAAGGTTTTACACCTACTTAAGCCCAATGCCTTCTTGACTTTATTGAATATTAGAGAACTCGCTACAGAGTATCCCCAGGTGTTTGTTTCTTTGCCATTCATTTTGTCGGTATAGTATTGCAGGCTGTGGCCCTTCGCCCACGTGGAGATCGCGGTTTTGATGGTACCATTTTGGGCGGCGATTTGCATCATTTTCTCGTAGATCTTTTCCCAGACACGCGGCACACCCAGGAACCTCGTCGGTTGCACCTCTAACAGGCAGTTGACCAGCGTACCTTTCAATGCATTCTTGTCTGCGAAATAAACGGAAGCCCCGACGGTCATTGTTATATAAATGTCTACCACTTGAGCGGCCACGTGGCTCAAAGGTAAATAGCTCACGATTGTTTCGCAGCCTTTGTCTAAGAACAGTCGCTGAGATATGCTCATCGCGTCCCAAGTCAAATTGTCATGACTCAACATTACGGCTTTTGGATTTCCGACAGTGCCAGACTATAATAAGAATATATTAAAATATGACATGGACTTATATCTGTTAATTAAATTAATTATATAGAATTACAAATGAGTACGCGTAAATTAACTAATTATACTTACTGTATAAACCAAAGTACAACATTCGTTAATGGCTAATGTTTTCAAAACTTTGTCTAGATGTTCGTCAGACTCTTTTTCTCCGATCGCCATTAACGCCTTCCACTGTAAATATAATTATACACGACGTTGATTGTTTCCATCATTATGTAATAAAATCTTACGCTGAGGACATCATCGCACTTAGGCTCGCCTGAATATTGGACTATGGCCTTGAGATTGGGAAGGCGTGACCGAAGCGGCAAAATCTTCTCCAGTTGTTTTTCATCCTCAACAACAATTATATTAGCACGGCTGTTTTCTGCACAATAAAAACAGGCTTCGCTGCTATTGGTCGTGTAAATGCCGGCCGCGACTCCTCTAGAAATGCTCACAATAAATATGTGAGAATCAGATTTTTTTTAAAACTCACCCGGCATGGATGGCGGCTACATCAGAGATAAACCATTCGGCGCTATTGAAACCCAGAATGCAAACGGCGTGGTGTCTTTGAAGTCCCAGTTTCAGGAAAGCCTTTGCACATGTTCGAATATTTTCGCGGTACTCCCTGAAAGAAAGCAGAACTGTTTTATAGACGGGTCATTTACAAGGTGATCTAATCATCACTTGTAGGTCATTTTCTTCCAGTCACCATCTTCCTGCCAGGCCAAAGCAACCTGATCGGGGAAATCCTGGGCTGTCCTATTCAACAGTCCTGGGATGGATATAGGTTTCTCTTGTTCAATAGCGATAGCAGTTTTCGGAATTCGCAACTTCACGGTTCCTTCGGGCCGTACCGTCCATATGCTATCGGAAGGTATAATCTGATCCGGACCATCGTTAAAATCTCCGTTGATATTGGTGATATCCGCCATTCTTCCTATAGAAAGAAACTTGGAAAATTAAAAACTTGCGAAATTATATAATTCGCATGTGATTTTTTTTTATCTTCGACGTACTTGTTACATCTATGGATGAAAGAGCCGGACTAACGTATTATTAATAGTTCAATGTGACTTTAAACTGATTATAAAACGCTCTTATCATTTTTAACCTATGATATTATTTTTTTTTATCGCTTACAGAGAATTATCTTCTTAAATGCGCTCACTGCAACGGAAATATAAACAGTTCAATAACAAAGTTCGAGCGAAAATGGAGAAATCGTAAGCGCATTGCGTTATTTCTTTAATTCCATTAAATATCATTAATCGAATATATAATTACAGAAACGACATATTACAATTTTACATCGAAAACAACAAGCATACTGGTAAGTCCTTGCTTCATAATAATAATTATTATTATTATTATTGCTGAGAATTTAAATTAATGTTTCACTTTTTTGTATTTCTTTTTCTTTTTGGTGTTTAAAGTTCGCGCGTCAGATGTCAATCCGGAAACGACGCTCAACGAGTACCTGAGGGAGAATCGCTTCCTGACCGGTACTAAGTTCATGTGCAGGGAAGGGGGATGCGGAACTTGCATTGTCTCAGCGACGTTTAAACAGCCTATCACTAAAAGAATAGTCACTCTGGCTGTTAACTCGGTGAGATATCTGAACTTCAGCACTTACAACGATTAAAAACATCCGATCGCTGCATGTCTTATTGCGCTTTGCGTTTCAAAACATTTCTGGTTTCACTTTTTTATGTTGTTTTATTTAGAATATTAACCTTGTTTACACATTTTAACTAGTTTTCGATGGAATTTTTAAAACAACTTACGTTACGTGATCGTATACGTTACAAAATATCCGTACATCTACTAAATTCGATGTATTATAAAAAGACATTCAACGAACATTCTAACAATGAAATATGTTCACTATGGTAATATTATTTTTGATCAAAGGTTATGATCTAACAAAATCACTTTATAAAAGTGATTGGAAATGCTAATTAAGAGTTTACGTTATATTTCTAGTGTTTGGTTTCTATACTGTCATGCAGCGGTTGGAAGATTTCAACGGTAGAAGGGATAGGAAATCCAAAAATTGGGTACCATCCTATACAGACGAAGTTGGCCAACTTCAACGGAACCCAGTGCGGATTCTGCTCGTCTGGCATGGTAATGAATATGTATGCACTTTACCAAAATGGAAACGTTAATATGAAAGATGTCGAAGATTCATTTGGTGGTAATATCTGCCGTTGCACCGGCTACAGACCTATATTATCCGCATTTAAATCAATGTCCATCGACGCTTCCGAGAAATGCATTGGTAAATTGCGGGATATCGAAGATTCGTACGTACCTTGCAAGGAAATGGAATGTCCACAATTGTGCAACAAGTCTTTGTCCTACTCTTTGAATAACACTAAATGGTATAAGGTGTTCACTATAGATGAAGCACTCGAAATAATGAAAACAAATGATAACTACAGATTTGTTGCAGGGAACACTGCCAGAGGTTTTTGGATGTTTAAATTTACTTGAACTTATAAAAATGATATTGTTTAAGGTGTTTATCCCGACATGTCCAAAGCGAATGTTTACATTGATTTGAATAACGTGGAGCAACTGAAAGGACATGTTTTGAATACGAAAAATTTAGAAATAGGAGCGAATGTTACATTGACCGAAGCTATTGATATTTTCCATACAGTCAGCTTTAACGATCCAAATTTTTCTTATTTACAAAAGTTTACAGAACACATTGATCTGATAGCTCACGTACCCGTTAGAAACGTTTGTTGTCTTGCTATTATTTGCTACTTACGACATAACTAATATTTTTCTTCCGTTAGATCGGAACGCTTGCTGGAAATCTATCAATAAAACATAAGCACGTGGAATTCCCTTCAGATATCTTTATTCTATTGGAAACCGTTGGAGCAACTATAACTATAGGTTGAGTTTCAAAACGCACGCTTACGTTTTAATGATCACACTATTTTCAGTGGATACCGCGAAAAAAGAGTATAACATAAGTGTTCTTGAATATATCAATTACAATATGGGTAAAAAAATCATTAAGAAAATCACAGTTCCTGCCTTAAAAAAGAACACATCTTTTGAAAGTTATAAGGTAATCTGAACGCTTACTTGTCATCACCCCAATTTGCATGTCAAATTCCAGATAATGCCGAGAGCTCAAAATGCCCATGCGATGGTAAACGCTGGATTCCAGGTATCATTCAAGAATGGTGGAATTGTAGATAGTATCCGCATCGTTTATGGAGGAATCAACCCTCAGTTCAGTCATCCGACTGAAACTGAAAACTTCTTGAAAGGCCGTGACCTTTTCAAAAACGATGTACTCAAAATGGCATATAAGAAACTCGAATCTGAATTGCAACCGGACCACGTGCTTCCTGATCCGAAACCAGAATTCAGAAAAAAACTAGCCATCGCACTGTTTTACAAGGTTTGCATTTTAAGAAAGTTAGCACCGAGATCTATTTTGTCTCCAGTTTATTTTAAGTATTTGCCCAACGGTGGATAAAGCTAAACAATCTGGCGGAACAAAATTACACAGAGATTTATCCAAGGGCACGCAACATTTCGAGACGCAAGAATCTCTCTATCCACTCACAGAAGCTATACCAAAGTTGGAGGCGTTAGCTCAAACCACTGGTAATAATCATATCGCTATTAAGGTTTTTTTTCTTCCTATCATTCGTTTTGTTATCATAGGACAAGCCCAATATATCGGTGATATACCTGACATACCGAATCAACATTACGCTGCTTTTATCTTAGCAAAAGCTCCCGCCAATTCGAAGATTAAGAAGATTGACTATTCCGAGGCCTTAGTCAGTAGCGAATACGTGTAATAAACTTGTAAGTTTTATCTATGTTCTTTTTAGAAATTAGAAGGCGTAGTGCATCATGTGGATGTGAATGACATACCAGGTATCAATTCGTTCATGCCTAAGTCTATTGTACCCGAGGCTGAACCCATATTTTGTTCTGACACGGTTCTCTACTACAATCAGCCAATCGGCTTGATCGTAGCTACTAGTCAAATAGCAGCCGAAGAAGGTGCCAAACTTGTTTCTGTGCAATATATTAAATCAACGGAAAAACCATTGTTATATATCCGCGATATTATTGCCAGTGGCAAGAGCACGAAGATAACCCACGAAGAAACAATAGTTGCGAAAAGTAAAGGTAAAGATATTAAGCTGGAGTTCAAGGGATCCTACGATACCTATTGGCAGTATCACTACCACATGGAAACTCAATGTTGCAATGTGGTACCAGTAGAAGATGGTTGTTTCGATATGTACACTTCAACACAATGGATGGATCTGGTGCAGGTGGCAGCTGCGGAATGTTTAAACATCAACCAAAACAAGTAAATACATCTTGTGAGTAACTATGAAACATAAATACTAAAGGATTCTTGTCTCAGGATTCACGTCCGGGTGCGTAGGTTGGGCGGCGCGTACGGTGGAAAGATTTCCCGTAATTCTCAAGTTGCTTGTGCATGTATCCTAGCCTCAGCTAAGATCCACAAGCCCGTTAAATTGTGGATGCCATTCACAGACAACATGAATGCTATTGGCAAGAGGAATCCCATCTCCGCAGATTATGAAGTCGGTGTCAACAACAAAGGCAAAATACAATATTTGAATCATACTTATTACACCGATGTTGGGTATGCCAAAAATGAAATACCCTGGCATGGTGGGGTAGATTGCTTTACGGGTGCTTATGAGGACAACTCGTACGAGATTGATGTTATGTCTACCAGAAGCGATAACCACACTGCAACCTGGGCTCGAGCTCCTGGAAGTTTGGAAGGTTCGGCTATGATCGAAACAATTATGGAACATATATCGTACAAACTTAACATGGATCCACTGGAAGTCAGATTGAACAATCTGGATGACACTACTCATCCCAAATTAAGGCCGATGATCGATGATCTATTGAATTGGGCTGAAGTAAATGATCGCAAAAAGGCGATCGAGCAATTTAATAAATCAAACATTTGGACCAAGAAAGCTCTGTCCGTAATTCCCATGGTTTACAAATTGATTTTCTTCGGTCAATTCCATGCTCTAATTTCGGTGTACCACAACGATGGATCAGTTGCAATTTCGCATGGAGGTATCGAAATGGGTCAAGGAATTAACACAAAGGCCGCACAAGTTGTCGCTCATACTCTTGGAATAAAACTGGACATGGTCAGCGTTAAGCCTAGCGACACATTGATATCACCGAATAATTTTGTCACAGGCGGAAGTATTACGAGCGAATCCGTCTGTATGGTAAGAATTGCAATCGCCTATATTTCAAGAATGAAACAAATTTATGTATTTAGGCTATGGTTAAATCATGCAACGAGCTGTTAGAAAGAATGAAGCCAATTAAAGACTCGCTGGACGTGAAAACATGGATTAACGTGGTAAAAGAGTGTTACAACAAAAATATTAATCTCGGAGTTACGACAACGTATATATACATATATTGTTTTATTTTACCATTTACTTATACAGCAAATATGTTTAAATTGTAGGTGGACAGAAGCAGAGAGCAAAGAATATTTTATTTACGGAGTCGCAGCCGCCGAGGTCGAAGTTGACATTCTAACAGGTTGTCATGTCATACAGCGAGTTGACCTATTGGAGGACACTGGGGATAGCATGAGTCCAGCTATAGATATTGGTCAAGTGGAAGGCGCCTACATCATGGGTTTAGGTTTCTGGACGTGCGAGGAAATCGTGATGGACAAGCATGGTGAATTGTTGACGAACAGAACGTGGAATTACAAAACGCCAGGTGCCAAAGATATTCCCGTCATATTCAACGTCAAGTTTCCTGAAAATAATCCAAACCCTCGGAGTCCTTTGAAGGCGAAAGCAACGGCGGAGCCTCCGCTGTGCATGAGCATTGGTATTCCCTTGGCGATAAAGCAAGCTATTAAGTCTGCCCGGATCCAAGCAGATCCATCTGCAGACCCTTGGTATCCTATAAGTAACTTCTCTTAAATACATACACACAAACACATATATAACAACCGCATTTCTGTTTAGATGGGCCGTGCACAGTCGAACAAACATTCATGAGTTCCCTTTATAAACCGGAACAATACATATTATAGTGAGTAAACTCAGCACAGGATGCATTACAGGACGAAAAATATTATATAACAATGGGTAAAATATATAATATTGATAACTCAAATAACGTATTTTCTTTAGTAATATCAATTATTTACACAAAAAAAAATAAATAAATATTAACTACTTAGAAAGGTACTTTTACAAATATTTCTTGGATAAAATATAAGTGTTTATGCGTGAATGAAATGTGTTTTTTTTTCCATTTTAATATAAATTATTATTTTTTTTTTCCTAAAAATCACATTAAACTCGATAATGTAACAGCATTGGGCAAGTATTGTTTTATTACGCATATTCTTGACGAATCTTCATAAATCTCGTTCAAGGTATTACTTTTGTTGATTTCTGTCTTTTTTTTGAAAAGCGCGAAATGTATATATACACGCCAATATTCGAACAGGTACTGATACATAAAACGATTGAAGATTGATAAAAAATAATAGAAATAAAAAAAATAATTATATATATGTATAGAGGGACCGGGGCTGCGGCATTGTTGGAGTGTACATTATATAGCAGAGGAGATTTATTTTTTACTTTTCTCGTAGGTCACTACTTTAGATTGATCCTTTCCCCGAATTGAAGTGATCACATTATTTTTCTGATCTTGTCCATTTGTGGGTGAATCCTTTTCTTCGGCGATTCTTGGCAAAAGTTCGCCAGGCCCCGCAAGTGTTAAGGACAACCGGTTGCTCTCATTCGTGAGGGCAGTGGTTTCACTTGACTGGCTGGATTCGCCGAGGTCAGAGTCTTTATCTCGTACATCCGATTGCGCAACTGGACGCCAAACGGCGCTGGTGGCGCCCCGTGTTTGCGCCTTCACCTGGTTAGTGCCTGAAGAGCAGAGAGGTGATATTGATGAGCACTTGTTCTCAGCGGTTCTAGGATGTAAACGGTCCGGCGAGAGAGCTCTACGCAACAGCGGGGAGCCAGGCTCTGCTGCCTTCGTCCGCACAAAAGTCTTTTTCGTCTGACTGGAATTGGACGGATTGGTGGCCAAGGAAGTCACCAAAATGTTTGTCGTACTACCGCAGGAACTCGGACTGTACGACTGGGTAGTATTCGAGCTGCCAGGCTGATGTCCAACTGGAAAAGCCAATGGACTCGGTGACCTGGTCGGAGAGGCGGGCAATGGCGATGGCGACGGCGTTCTAGCGAGTGGTGACAATGGTATATGACCTACAGACTTCCTTCTATTTGGCACATTTGCAGGACTAGCGGTGTGTAAAGTTTTCGAACAAGGGTTTGAATGCAATTTATGTTTCAAGCCATGCAATGTAGATGGTCTTTGATAATGTTGCTTATTACGGTTGTTTATAGCTGGAGTTTGGTTAGGAGAGCTCGAAGGCGACTGTGACGATGAACTGCTTGAGTGTTGGCTGAAAGAATCCGACGGAGAAAGGCTGGATCTGTTCGAGGCGTTCGAACGCAAGGCGGTCGCAGGACAAACATCATGGCCCCTTTGGAATGACGTAAAGCTTCTACTCGGAGTCACAGTTAAGGGGGATTGGATACCTGCAGCCATCTACTCGAGGACGAAAAAAGAAAGCATAACAATTGAAGTTTAACTACAACACAAATTATAGAAATCGATTATAACCTGCTGCATTTCCACGCTCGCTCGTTTGCTACTGATCCTTCGGAACAAGGATGTTTTGCGTTTCTTCTCGTTTTCTCTTTCCCTTTTCTGTCTACGCTGCCTGTGGATGCTCCTTCTAGCTAATTTACTCTGACCCGGTTCGCGTTTCCTTCCGCCACTCTGGATTGAGGTTTGGTCCAAGGGCGTTGCGCGCAAGCTAACATGCTCGGCACCGCCAAGTAACAACTGCAGTACTTGAGTATGGTATAAACCTTGCACTGTTTCACCATTAATATGTGTTATTAAATCAGCTGGTCTCAGACCTGCTTCGAAAGCTGGACTTCCCTCTTCGACCGCCTACAAATGATTGAAATGATTAATAGATTACTTGTACTCAGTGAGATTTGGTGATTTACCATAACCAAGTGATGCATAGTGTAGAAATCGGTATCGCCATAGAACACCCTAATCGTATGCACTGTGAATCCAAAGCCTCTGGGTCCTCGGCGTATAATTATTGGAGGCTTTAAGCTCGTCACTAATGGTGACAATTCTCTGCATGGCGAAGTGTCCCGAGAGCTTGCAGTACTGGAACCACCACCACCACCACTTACATTTATATTGGTAACCGCTGTACCTGGAGAATGAACACCAGATTGAGATGCAGTCGTTTGATAGTCGTCTGGAATGACAAGAGATAGACCTGAAGCAGATGCGCTCTTCACTACTGATCTAGATTTGTGTCTGCTGGATGCAGGCGAGACCCCTACTGTGCTCAAATTGAAGATGTGTTCATCTTCCACAGAAATTGAGAATTTAGGTAGTATCTCTCGAGAGTGTCCATTCTTCCTGCTGCGCCTATGAATCTGCGGCGAAAAATCGTCACTATCGGTTTGCGATGATTCAGGAGTACTGACAGTTCGATTAAGATCATTCGATAATTTCCTATGCTCTACTGTGACCACATCAGATTCATCTTTATCTGGAGTTAAGAGACTGTGTCTAGCCTTGCTGTGCGCGTTTTCGGGCGTATCTGGCGTTGTCGCCGATGTGGTGATTCTCACTGATTCATTACCAGCGTCGGAATCCGAAGTTAAGTTCAACTTTGATGAATGGACTTTCCGGTATTGAGGAGAGCAAGACGAAAACAGACCGAACACAGGCGAATCATCAGTATCATCAGTGTCGTCTTCTAAATCGTGGTTGTATCGATCGATCCGACTATCGAAGTAACTCGTGTCCTCCTCGTTTTCTAACTGTGGAACAAATTCTGCCTTCTGCCGCAACAATGAATTCCAATCTAAACTTGCAAAATATACGTGCTCCTTTACTTCCTGAGCTCCGCTTGCACCCAATCGCTCCCTGGGGAAATGTTGCAAAAGATTCATTATTAGGTCTTTTGCCTCTTCTTGAACTGCCCAATCCTCAGTTTCAGGCCACTCGATATCATCTGCATGATCAAATAAAATATTTTAGAAACATAAAATAAAATGAATGTAGACTCATCAGTAAGCTTGTTATTACCGTTTACTGTGTGCGCGAATAACTCTTCTGGTGTTTCTCCAAAAAATGGCACACATCCAACCAGAAATTCATATAATATTATTCCCATGGACCACCAGTCAACGGGTTTCCCATAGCCCTGTCGCAGAATCACCTCGGGTGCAATATATTCCGGAGTTCCAAACACTTGTTTGTCAGAGAACTGACGTGTTTCGCAATCAATATATCCTTCATACAAATTGGTAGCCACTAAACAAACATAATAGAAGAATTAATAAACCATACCATAACAAATCAGTATTTACTTACGAGACATTAATCCCATCTTGCTCAATCCGAAATCGGTCAGTTTGATGTGTCCCAGAGCAGTAATAAGCAAACTGAAAGACCACACATATTCCGTGTTTTAAGAGTAAAATCAATGTAACGACATGTCATACTTATCGGGCTTGAGATCTCTGTGGACAATACCATAGCTGTGCAGATATTCGACGGCTAGAACGGTCTCAGCAAAATAGAAACGTGCCATATCTGGAGGTAATGGTCCAATATTTCTGATCAGACTAGCGCAGTCTCCACCTTCGACATACTCCATAACCAAACACAAATGCTTTCGTGTTTCAAAACTGCAATACATGGAAACGACAAAAGGATTATCGGCGAAACTGAGAATATCTCTCTCCGCAAAAACTTGTTCCACTTGATTCCTCAACATAAGATTATTCTTATTAATCTTTTTCATAGCGAATCGCTGTTTTGCAATTTTATGCTTGACGAGATAGACGGCTCCGTATGCACCGTTTGAGATTAGCTTTATAATTTCATAATCATTTTCGTTTGGATTGCAGGATGGAACCCATTTTGATGCTGGATTCGAAGTGGATGCTATGGCCGGCTGCTTGCTCGTTGGTGTCGATGTTAGGCATATTGACGACCTATTCGATGAACTATTGCTACTTGTCCAATTACTGCAATTCCTCAGCTCTTTCTGCAATTCTGCTATTGGATCTCTATTAAGACCCAGCTTCTGGATTATATATTGCGGTAAATCTTCTTTGATACCCTGCAGAATCTTCAGCTGACCTTCGGCCGCTTCTAAAAAGTGATAAAACTCCTCAGGATCAAACTCTAGACATTCCAATAAACGGGCTGGCCTCGAGATAATAAGTAACAGTTTTTTAATTAAGCCTGTTACTTCTGTAGCAGCGTCTTCTGATTTTTCTTTAGTTTCGTTCAAAAGCCTCTCCAAGTTTTCAGACATTTCGTAAAAATAACGGCTAGTGATCAATTTGTTTTGCGACTTGTTCAAACAGTCTCTAGCAACTTCCATCACCTGATGATGAACGAATCGGATGATTGGCAAAAAATCGCAAACTTCACCAGGCTCGACCATACTTCTGTTCTCATTTATGAAATGGGACAATCTCTCCTCCATTTGCTGCGTGGCTTTAGGAAACCTCTCTTTGTACATGACGTTCATCATGGATATTTCATTGTCAACGACTGGAGATCTACTTGGGCTACTGTAAAATATCATTAATTTCTTCCGCTTATATTGGACTCCATAAATTTGAACAATTCCTACCTAAGACTACGAGATCTGGGTCTGTGCAGCGGTGAGCGATGCACATCTTCATAATTTGTTGCTCCTGGCATCGAAGCGTTACTTTCATTGCTCGAAAAATGATGAGTTAATATTCGCATATCGTCTGAAGTAGGTGCATTTGGAAGTTGATGCAATTTTTCGTGACTTGAACATTTAGACTAGGCGGCAAAAGTTAAGAAAATAATAATTTAGCAAGAACGTTCACTGTTGAAAGTAAAATACACGTACCGACATGTTTGAACTACCTGGAGTTGTTCCATAACCAGATGATGGGAGGGAAGCTACTGACCAACGCCTACCATCACCTCTATAACCAGCAGCAATACTAAAAGTGTGAATCATATTAGAATTCACATTTGGAAAGATTAACAAGTGTTATGCACTTTATCAAAGCAGATACAGCACAAGGTAATCAATATGACTAATAATATGAAGTGATGAATTCCTTACCGTTTTATAGGTGCAAAAGAAAAATTCAGAAAACTGTTATGGTTGCGGGGGCTATCAATTGGACTACCACAAATTGGAGAATGGGATCTTGGCATTGTTGGTGAAGTGTTTGATATCAAACTTAGTCTGTGAATAGCACCTGGACGACTGCTCCTCCGGCTAACAATATTATTTTCTCTCTGTAAACAGCAACTATGTACTGTACTGTTTAAAGAACAAGTGGTGGTTATGTTACCATGGTTGCTGACAATGAAGGAGCGGACTTGCCCAGTGCAGAATTCCGGATCCTTACAAGATTTGAGACAGAAGGGGTCTGCAGCTGGCCCTTGTCCTGTGCCATTGGTTGATCTGTGTTTGAGCAGAGAGAAAACAATAATTATCAATCGCATAATTGTTTGTGTTCACTTATCAAGTGATAGGTATGACCAGCAAATATGTATGCAGGGGTTTAAAAAAGTGTGCAATGAAGAGGAAGAAAAGAAGAAGAGGAAGAAAGAAAAGCAAATAGAAAATAAGATGTGCAAAAAGTAATAAGAAATAAATTGTAAAAATTATAATAAAAAAAAAAGACCAGGGAGTACCCAGTTTTCGTTGTTTATTTTAGTGGCATTTGGTCGTTACCTGTGGGTGCATGCGTGACATTTAATTTCGGTTGATTCGAGGACCTGGTGGGCTGCTGGTCGCGGCTCGAGAGATCGTCAAAAATCAAAACCCGCGCCGAATTCGAACGGGTTCTCGATTTCACCCCGTTGTCCTCCATTTAAAGCACGTACCAGCCCAATGGCCGTGTGAAGAGTTTCACTACAATAAACCAACATTTAACATCACTGCACTAATGGGCAGATATGCCTCAACACCCATGGCAATTGCGATTGCCAATTCTTTCGTCTGCAACTACAAGATGTGCACAAGAACCAACATTATTTATCTTTGATTGAGATGGCAACCATCAAGAACTTCGGCAGACAAACAGCTGCGCTTCATACAAACTACACACACTCGCATACACACACACACTTGCGCACTCACTCTCTCACGCGCCTATGCAAACCACCTCTCACGGCATCACCATCTTTGTCTCTCTGACCATCTCTGACACTGTCTGGTACACTCATACAACACACTCAAACACAAATATATGAATATATGCAAATATATGTTTTCACTGTTTTACTGTGCTTTACACCACTTTACGCATTGCATTGCATGTTGGTATATTGATATGCTTGTGGTTTTCTTACCCATGGATCGACCCAACAAAGGTTCCCATGAAAATTCGCATCAACGATGCTATGGGTACGAAAATAAAAAGTGTTGTCCTGCGACCCACCACCTTCATTTCCAAAATAGCACTTTTTTATTGTCCAGTGTACACATATAATTAGCCCTCTAAATATAGACATAACATCTTCCATCTCCCTTCAAATCGCGATCCAATATAAACATATCAACAACAAACAAACAAACCAGATGTTTTTAATTACAATTGGGATGGTCAGGCATCTTACTAAATTAGGTATATATTCACTGCTGAGTATAGAGTGGTATAGAGTTATGTTTTGCACAAAGATACATTTGTTTTCTTCTTCAAATCTCATTTACTCTTGACCCATTGCCATACGTGTAATACAAGGTTGACTATTCATTACCTTATTATCTAGACCTGTGCTTTTAGATGTTGTGGTAAGCAGACATGTGCTAGTCTACGAAACATCAGATTCCAATCCGATATGAAATTAAAATTCTTAAAATAACATAAAATTAAATCAGTTACAACATACCCTCTTTGCCCGTTCAAAAAGTTTGAGAAGCACTGACCTATTATACAAGCTAGCGAGTGGGGTTGCCTACTACCACCATATATTTTTTTATTATTTCATTATCAGAGCTCGGCAACCTTCTCTACTAGGAGGGCAAATAATTACTTTACAAAACATAAAACAAAGTATGTTTACGATGTACTAAATAAACTTTAAAGATATTGCTATAATAACAAACTCTCTATCTATAAATAATATTTATTATAGTGATTCGCTTTACCCATCATCAAAGCTATGCAAATTTGGAACTATTTACAAAATATAAGACAAAGCTTAAACAAAAATTAAAGATCATAACTTCAATTCAATGTTTTATTCCATTCACGCGGACTTTAGAAGTAATCTTAAATTATTTTTATTCATTTAAAGCAGTCGTTTTGCTTCTTCGACCCTCGACCCCTTCAAGAGCTGTTTTTTTTTACTTTTTCGATCCCTCTATTATACTATTATATAATTATAATAGGACAATTCGAAAAGACAAGGATAATTTAACTTTAAAGTCTCACTTTTAATATTTTTGATGGAGAAGGCATCCTGGAATGATCCAGGTTGCAAAGCTTAAGTCCGTTAAAATTTGAATACAAATTTTAAATAGTAGCGCCAATAACAGTCAATGAGCGCTAACTCTGATGGCGCGTTATGATGGCGTCCAATAGAGAACGTTTATTTTCCCAACTTTATAGAATTGTACATGTTAGGTTAGCATTGGTTAGCATTGGCGGTAAGGTTCCACGGTTAACGGTCGTTAACGGTAATTCTGAAACTCTGAAGAAACGACGCTCATGTTTTCTTAAAGCATGCTTTAAAAAAAAGTTGTCGTTGTATTTGCAAATGTGTGTATAGTGCTTATATTATAAGAGTCGACCGCGTGCTAGCAACGTGTAACGTTTGTAAGTAGTCTAGATCCGGTATTTAGATATGAGTAGAAACAACGCTGAGGTCGAGATGCTGGAAGTCATTATGGACAAGAAGTCCAAGAAAAGGAAATCGCTGGAAATGCAAAGCGATTTGGAGAACTCTATTTGTCTTGGGTTAACAAATGGTTCAGTAGAAAAAAAGAAAAAAAAGAAGAAGAAGGTGGAAGTAGAAACTCCTGTAAGTGAGAGTCAGGTCACTAAGAAAATTAAAAAGCATAAGTTAGAAGCAATGGATAATGGTGCTGAATCACCATCTAAGACCAAAAAAATAAAAAATGAAGAAAGGGATGCTGAAGCATCTGGCTTAAATAAAGATAAGGCTACAAAGAGCAAGAAAATGAAGAAAGCTAACGAAGGTACTGAGTTAAAGAAGGAAGCATCGGGCAAAAGCAAAAAGGTAAAAAAAGTTGATAGTGATCAAGAAGCAAGTGAACAAACACCAAACAAAAGTAAAAAGGCTAAGAAATCTAAGGAAACAATAGCTTTTGAAGAGGCTTTGCTAATCCCTGACATTGTCAAACAAGGAATTGTAGACACACCTGGCAAGAAACATAAATCCAGGAAAAGCATAATTGTTACTGATATTGAGAACATCAGTGATCCTGTTGGTGATTATGTACCTGAAGATGATGAAGAAGATGCCCATGAAGATGCAGAGGATTTGAAACAATCAAAAACCTCTGATATTGATTTCCCACTGGAAGACTTACCAAGTCTCATAGAAAATATTGAATCGTTGTTACCAACGAAGGAAAATTTATCTTGTAAAACTCGTTTAAAGAAAATGGACTGGGATAAGGTGGGTGAATTTCAAATTAATTTTTACAACTTTTGTTTTAAAATGTATTATATTCTAGGTGGCATTTAATAGTCATTCGGCTGCACAATGCAAAAAAGCATGGGACAATATTCTGAAAAAGCAAAGACATTACAGGTATATGACTGAGATACTTGTAGATGTAAAAGAATGGTTGGAAAAGGTCCAGAATACACATACCAACTATTCCGATTTTCCAAAAAAGAAACCTCTGTCTGGATACATGTTGTATTTTGTTGATCAACAGAATCAAGTATTTAAGGATAGGCCTGATATAAAAATGGTTGAGCGTTCACGATTAATAGCTGATAGCTATAAGCAGCTAAGTGACAATGAAAAGAAGAAATATAGCCAGTTAGCAGCGAAAAATAAGGCTGTGTATGAACTTGAAGTTCAAGAATTTTATAAGAAACATCCGCATTTACGAAATTCTGATACAGGAAAGCCGCCGAAGAAACCAATAACACCACTTGCTTTATACATAGAAGATCATCTAAATAAAGTGAGACTTGGTGAGGAGGAAGACGCAAGTAAAGATGAATTGAAAAGTAGATGGAAACTACTTTCTGATGAATCAAAATTAGTATGGATTGATAAAGCTGTGGATTCGCAAATCAATTTCGTTAAAGATTTAAAACGATACAAGTCGAGCCATCCAGACTATTCTACATCTATGAGACATATATTGTCTAAAGAAGAAAAGCAATTACTTGATAAAAGGAATGGAAAGCCAGACAAGCCACCAACAACAGCATACATGCTATTTGTAAAGAAGTGCAATAAGAAGTATGTAAGCGAAATTGGCGATTTAACTCCGAAAGAACGTTTGAAGGTTTGTTCGCAGAAATGGCAGGAATTGACGTCAGATGAGCGACGAAAATACCAAAGCAAGTTAGAAGCTGTAAGTATTATCCATATATATAATTTATAAATACTAGGCGGTACAGTTTCTTATTGTACCCGTGAAATGTATTCTAATCTGAACAAATAATTACTGCTTATTATAACATTTTTGCAGTTGTGTAATTATATATGTATAATGCTAACATCATTTTTTGTTTCAGCTGAATGAAAAATTCAAAATTGATAACGCAGCTTATTTGGAATCACTACCCGATTATGAACGGGAATTGGAGATAAAAAATACGCCCAAAAAACTCAGGGAAGACCCACTAGACAAACTGAAAATGTAAACAACAAAATTTATTTGTTTTCTTATATATATATATCTAATGTTTGTTTATTTTTTTTTTCAGGGCTGATATGGCTACCCCCCATTGTTGGGAAGAAATGAAAGAGTCAGAGAAGAACATTTACCTAACGTATATTACAAAAATCAAAAAGTATTTTGATACGCAACATGGATTGAACCATGAGGTAATATAATTCCACAATGTGTTTTATGCATTATATTTATTATGTTTGTTTAGGATGGCGAGGAGGAAACTGAGGAAGACGAAATTGACGAACAAGAAGAGGAAGAAGAAACTGATTAGTTTATCTTAGTTATTTTATACAGTTTAACTTTTTTAATGTATTTGTTATACATATATGATGGAAATTGTTTTATTTATGTTTTCCAATATATGTTATTATTTCGTTTTAATATAAATAATAAAAGTCAATTTTCATTTTACATTGTTTATTGTTCCTTAAATAATTACATTCATTGAGTTATTACAAGAAGCTGAAATATACTTAGCAATAATAATTTACTATATAATACCAGTTTTGTTGCTACAAAACAGAAGGAGTAAAAATTGTAATGTTGTTAAGATGCAGCAATTCCAATAGCGACTCCAACGACGAAAGATGTGACAAATACAAAAGTTCCTTTGTATTTGTATTCTTTGGAGTACCAGCTCTTAGCTTTCTTTTGCTGTTGCTTAATTTTATCTTCAACTTTATCCATCTGTCTATCTACATAACGTTCCATCTAGAATTTAAAAACTGATAATATTTACAATCCTTACAAAGGGTTTTCAAAATAAAAAGAATGTTAGTTTAGGAGCAGCCTATGGCTATGAAAAAACCACCAATAAAACTGGCAGAGAAAGACATGTGAGTTTTAGAAAATGTAGTTATCTGGAAAGTAAAGTAAAAAATATAGAAAATCAAAAACATACTTTTGTATATCTAATTTTAGAATTACCTTATCCATGAGACTAGGCCCTTGGCCAGAGATTTTCTCCTCCACATTATCAACGACTTTGTCAATCTTCTTGTTTACTTTATTCCAGTTTATTTTAACAATATCATTTTCATTTGCAACTTGCAGCAATATGATACCACCCCCAACAGCCATAGCCACAGCTTTACCAACTTTCATGGATATCAAGCCTGTTATTAACCCGGATGCAGTGCCAAGCACTAATTGCTTTGTGGTCGATCCATCACTGATGTCTTCCATTATTTTATCAATTATTGATTTGCCATTTGGATCCATTTTTGCAATCTCAGCTTGGTTTTTATGATTTTTGTCAGTTTTACGCACAAACAATGGCATTTGATTACTGTTTATCTGGCGAATAGAAGTATTTTTAAATTATTACTTTTTATAGGTATCCTCTACAAAGGATTGACTTAGAATGTCATTATATGCAGGATTAAAGCAGCAGCAGCAGTGCCTCTGTAATGACAGTTCATGAGGTAATGGAGATTTCCATTTTACCAACAAAGAGAAACTCCTATTACTTTTTAATAATAAATATGATGCATTATAGATTTCTGAAAATACAATTTAATTAAAACCATTGGTTTAGATTATATAACAAAACAATCTTTGTTGAAAACGCATATTTAGTTTAATAAACAAATTGGAATGTTTAATTTTTACTATCATATATTTAATTGGAATATTTAACATTATTTTGTGTATTTGTCCTTTCAATTGCAATATGATCGAAACAAGTCATGACAATATGGTCGTTGGTTCGATTCCCAAAAACCGCTGATAAACCCGAAAGGGGTAGAAATTGGGCCAAAAATAAAGTCATGACAAGAAATAAACAAATATTTTAAATATCGCTATGTTTGTTATTACTTCTTTGTTTGAAAATGTAAATGCAATGCGCAACGAACGGAAATAGAATTGTTTACTATTTTCATTCTATATTTGCATCAGGACTAATTAAAATTTTCGGTGAATATTATACAACTACGCATCGTATCTCAATATGCGTAGTTGTTTCATGTTACTCATAGGGTTGTTTCTTCTTTCATTCTAAACAATATCATTGTATTATGTAATTGTAAAGTATTTATAGTTCTTTATATGTTTCCACATATAATCGGAGTTTTACTGTATATAACATTCAATAATATTGAAGTAAAAACAAGTAACTTAGTACCAAAAATGTTTCGTTCTCCCGTTTAAAACTAAGGGTATTTGTCATAAAAGGTTACAAAGTATCTTCAATCTAAGTAATTTTTGTTCCTGTAAATCCAAACCATTGACAAAAAAAGCGTTTCAACTTTGAATTATAAGCAAATTGATGAAATTTTCACTAAAATGTGAAAACACCGCTTTTTCGAATGTTCAACTTTTTAGTTAGTACATAGATAATAGTTTCTAAGATTAAAATTTCAGTATTAAATATTGGAATTGATTACCTAAACTCGAAAATATCAATGAATTTATTTAATTATTTTCCATTAATAAGATCTCGATAATCTACATTTTATTCATTATATTATAATTTCATAATAACATAAACTATGTTGTTGTGGCTTAACTACTCATATTATTCATTGTGCATGATCGTACTCTTACTCATATTTAGTTTGATACAAAGAAATATCTGTTTTATTGTCACCTTTAAACATAAATCGCACTCTAAGTCGTCCCATAAAAATATTAGGTAAAGACGCTTGGAGTATTTACTTAAAACTTGTAAGTTTCCACTCCTATACAGATGCAGCATTATACATATTGTCGCCTTTGACCGACGACCCTTCGCTAGTTTTATACTCATCTACTCCCTTTTTCAGTATCACTTAATAATAGATTGAAATCATCCAAATTCAAAAGAATTTAATCGTTATGATGAAATATATATATTTTAGTACTGTGATTGTAGTAATTTATATTAATAATTAAGTATAAATAATTGCATTCATAGTAAGTATATCTGAATAGATAGATCATTATATATGAAAATAAAGGAGAATTTCATTAACCAAGATGACGTTTCAAGCAACTCACTTCACACCATTCCATTCAGACAACTTTCCACACATATGTTACCTCATTTGTTTAATGTGATTATTTGTGCTATATAGTTATGACACATCGACGTTGGTGAAGTTACAGCTGTTTGAATTATTTGTAGTTTAGTTCTTTTATATTTATAAAAATTAAAGAAACATGGAGGGCGAAATAAAGAGATTGAAGGAAAGAATTGCTGAATTGGAAGGCAAGTCTGTTGATAAACCTATAAGAAGCAAAATCCAGGAGATGTCTTCTGAGGTTGTAGACAGCAATCCCTACAGCAGATTGATGGCTTTGAAGCGTATGGGAATTGTCAATAACTATGAGAACATTAGAAATTATACAGTTGCTATTATTGGGGTTGGAGGTGTTGGAAGTGTTACAGCAGAAATGCTTACTCGCTGTGGTATTGGCACTTTGATTTTATTTGATTATGACAAGGTGGAATTGGCCAATATGAACAGACTATTTTTCCAACCGCATCAATCAGGTTTAAGTAAGGTAGAGGCTGCTGCTGAAACCCTAAGTTCAATCAATCCAGATGTTACAATCATGACCTACAATTATAACATTACAACATTGGACAATTATGATCATTTTGTCAATATACTGCTGTAAGTAATCTTAATATTATTGATTAATATGATTATTTATAAATTTATTTGAAATTCAAGGACATCTGGATCAAATCAAGGAAAAGTTGATATTGTATTAAGTTGTGTTGACAATTTTGAAGCAAGGCTTACTATTAACACTGCTTGCAATGAGAATGACCTTGTTTGGTTTGAATCAGGTGTTGCAGAAAATGCAGTGTCTGGTCATATCCAGTTTATAGAGCCTGGTAGAACTGCCTGCTTTGCAGTAAGTAAAATTTACAAATTTGTTTTTTCAAAATTAGTAATAATTTGATATTTCAGTGTGCTCCACCACTCATTGTAGCCACTAATATTGATGAGAAGACTTTGAAGAGGGATGGAGTTTGTGCAGCTAGTTTACCCACCACAATGGGAGTTGTTGCTGGATTTTTGGTTCAAAATGTTTTAAAGTATTTATTGAAGTTTGGCACTGTTACTGAGTATCTTGGATACAATGCCTTAAATGACTTTTTCCCTACAATGAGCTTAAAACCAAATGAGCAATGTGATGATACAAATTGTATCATTAGACAAAAGGAATACAAGGAAAAGGTGGCCAATACAATTTCTATTGTGGAAGAAGAGGAGATTCCTGATACACCAGTCCATGAGTCCAATGAATGGGGTATTGTTCTGGTGGATGAGAGTATACCTGCTCAAGAGTCAACTTCAATGGTATCAGAGGGTTTGTCATTAGCTTATACAATACCAGCAAGTGGAGATGTTAAACCACAGGAGGCAGCAGCTACTGAAATTTCATTAGAAGAGCTTATGGCGCAAATGAAAACAATTTGAGTTTTATATATTTTTTATTTTAATAATTTTATAAAAGTCATAATTCAATCAAATTTTCTACTTTTACATTGCTACTGGTTGTGTTTATTGAAATAGAGCTTTCAGCTTGGGTATAAAATATTGTTGATGTTGAACTAATTTTATTTACTATTCTTTGACTATCAGGTTTCCTTTCCTCTATCCTCTTGCCTCTCTTCATTGATATTTTTGTACTCAATAAGGTGTGTAGTGATTTCCAATATTCATATGATGCCATTTTTAGTGATGTTATCCATTTGTTTAAATCATCCAGACATCTACATGCAAACACATGTTTACCATCACTAAAGTTTAGTGAAAACGCAAAAGCTGGTCCTGGCATCTCATAAGCAACTTGAACATTTTCCAGTACCAACAATCCAAGTGGTTCATCCAACTCATTGGTACGATAATAGAAGAGCAAATTGTTGACCAATTTAAATACTCTCTCCTTGTATGGACGTTGGTACCAATCCTTGCCCTGGGGTTTCATGTACTGTAGTATCCCTTCAACTACAGGTGTACCTTTGGATACTTTTATTAATTCCCAATCATTGAATCTCATCACTATTTTTATTTATAAAATCAAAAGAAAACTATCACAGCTGTCAGTTTGACGTTAAATCAGGATTGATCAGGACTACCATACAACATATTTCAAAACATACATGCTAGCAACATAAGAAATGAAAGTATTTTTAAATTGAATATTCTATTGCAGGGCTCGGCGAACATTTCCATTATATACTTATACTCATTTTAATCTCTGTATATTTAAGATCAATATTAAAGTCAAAAGTTCTTCTGAGAATTGGTGTATACGAAAATACAGGCCATTTTCGAAGACGTTATTTTCCCAACTCATTTTAAAATACCAACGTTTGTTAATCAATTATGAAGACACCATTGCAGCTACAAACTAATATTTACGCTAATTTTAATCTGTGTATATTCAAGATCAACATCCAAATATAACATTCATCTGGGAGCTCATGTTTACGAAAATACGGGCCATTATCTAAGACTTTGTTTTCTTACTTGTTCATCAAAGTTTATATGTATGTTTGGTTGCAGACTGTTTCCTGCAAATTCTGACAGATGTCGCTGCTTATCATAATTAAAATGCATGTAACTCGAAATAAAATTAGTGGTTTATTTATTAGACTAAATTAGTAACATTATATATGTGCAAGCACTATGTTAATATGTTTGTTTATTTAAATAAGAACGTTTCTAAAGAAGTGGATTTTGAGCAGCGCCAAAATGCCTGAACTACAACCTTTGAAGTATTGCTAAGAGATGGATCCAGCTGTCACAAAAAATGGAATGTCCATTTTGCGCCTAAAGTACAGGCAACCAAACATATAAACTTTGATAAACAAGTAATAATACAAAGTTGGCTCGCTTTTGAATTTCTCGACAACCCCTCAAGATAATTACATGATCGACCACACATTTGAAAGCTGAATACCTCACCTTTCCAACAAGCCTACATACATCTTTGTAGTTTCATCGAGTCGCCTGTTATAAGCTGAAGAACATTTATTTTTTGTTATTATTCAGTTTTTACAGTTTTTCGTGATTTTCTCGACAAATCCTTAAGATAGTAACATCATCGACCACTCGTATAAAAGCTGAATATTTTGTCTTTCCAACAAGCCTACATACACCTTCGTACTGTCGCCGAGTCGCTTGCTATGACCTTTGGAAATTTTAAAAAAAAACACATCCTTAACTTTTTATACGCTAACAGAGAAAAGACGATTTTTCGTTTT